TCAAAACCCAGATATTCCAACGGATTCACAATGAATCCCAATCACATAGCTGAATTCAATAGAATTCATTTCACTGATATGAAGTGAATTGAAATGATATGACAGAGCTGAACTGCAGTCAGTCAGTCAGTCAGTCAGTCAGTCAGTCAGTCAGTCTATCCGCTGCTCTGCACTCTGACCCTGCACAGCCATCCCTTCCAGAGGCGGACGTTCACCCTCTCCAACCCTGACCTCATCAGGTTTTCCAGCCTTCAGCCACACTGCCTCCCTCTGCTCCACTGCTCAGCTGTCACCCGCCAAGATGCCGTATTTACGCACGTACACCAGAGCGTTTCGACTAGAGGAACGAGGCTGAAGGAGTCCTCTGGGACAGAGGGCAAACATCGGCGACACACCACAGTTCCTCAGTGACTGTCTGCCGGTGTGTTGTCTGCCTCCTCTACCGCACACCCCCATCGTTCGTACGGATACCATGGACCTACCAGGTTCTTTACGCACGGAGCGATGTGCGTAAACGTAACCAGCAGACTGAGCTGGTTTCAAGTGATGACTGAACGATCCACGTTTCCAATCACTTCTCTCTCTTGACTACTCATTTCACGAGCACATGCTCGCGCACGCACACTCGCACGCAAACACTCCATATGTATTGACGCGCGCACGGCTCACATCCGACAACCACAGCAAGTCGTGCGTTTGTGCGAAAGGCATATAAATAAAATACAAGTCTACAAATAAATAGTACGCATCGTGATGGCGTCTCTCACCTGGACGAAGAAGTAGGAGAAGAAGAAGAAGATCCGTTCACTCATTCATTCAGTGAGACACTCATCCATCTGTATGTTCATCCTCTACGTTTCGTCTCCCACTGAGCCACTGGATAACAGTCGTCTCTGCTTCTGAAGCTGCGGCGACAGAGCAGGCGCAGTTCCTTCTCTCTCTCACACACACACACTCTCTCTCTCTCTCTCTCTCTCTCTCCCTCTGACTGAGGAAGGATGAGCTGATGTGAGCAATAATGGAGGGATCAGCGCAACAGACGCCACAGAACTTGACCAGGTATGAGGCGGCATCAGAACAGAGGGCAGTGTTCCTTGGACCCTATTATATGCCTCTCTTTTCTCATTGAAAATGGGCATCATTAGTTTTGTCATATGTGAACAACTGACACACATATACTTTGGCTTCTATCTAGTTTTTCTCTTTTTCTAATTAAGTTGTATTTTTAGACAAATCCCTCACCTTTGCCTTCACAGTTAAGGTGTTTCACACCTCTGTTTTGTTCTGTACTCTGTGAAACCTGTTAAACCTCATGAGGAGGAGGTGAGTATATCTGAACAACAAACAGATTTGACGCACTGATGTGTTAACAAAGTTTGGTTTGCAACTTATCTTTGCACTGACTACATGTAGGATGATTTTTAACATTTGTAAATGGAAAATATTCAATCTGATTATGATATTTAAAGAAAAAAAAACCTTTGTGAATCCAATCCACCAGTTGACTCAGTTGACATTGTTGTACTATGAATTGTTTGCAAGCACTACAATAAACATATACAACTCAGATTCAGCTTGTTGCTAACGAAACAACATAATTTCTAGCAACAGCCCATGTAGCATTGTTGAAATTCAATACATTATTGATAGGTACAATAGCAAAACAAATCTGAAATTAAGCTTCAATATTTAAACATTTCACACTGCATCATCGACTGTGTTTAAATGTTTGTATGTGTTGGATTTCAATTAGTGGTTCAGACGATAAAAATGATAAATGATGAAAATGTTTTATTCCTGTATGCAAATGACAACAGGGAGTCAGGAAAACGTGTTTACAGTTACAAGTGTTATGCAAAGTGTTATGCTGTCTGTCCTAACCTCTGTCAAGGGGAGGAGGAAGAACAACCAATAAGGAAGAGAAGGGCAGTGAGGACAAAACAAGGAAAGACGAAGGAGGAGATGAGCAGAGGAGAGGGTGAAGAAGAAGAAGAATGTGGAGGACGGGGGGTGGCAGGTGACAGAGGAGGATGCTGGGACGGATGGAAGGGAGTGGAGCGAGGGAGCTGGAGTAAATAATGGGAGAGGAGAGGAGTGGGTTTACATTATCTTTCTTTTGGACACAGTTGATCAGAGTTCTGTCTCAGCGTGAAGCATGGCCTTTACACCACCAGCTAATTTGCACCCTGAAGGGACATCATCGCTCACTCTAAGAGACACACACACACACGCAGAGACACACACAGACACAAACTGATCCTCACGTATACTGCTAGTAAATAGCACCCAGTAACAAACAAGAGTTTACATCTAGACGGATTCCATCTAAATATATGAGTGAATGAAAGTATAGTGTATAAGTTATAGCTCATGTACAGACAGAATCTTTCACACAAAACACACACACACCACACGATCAAATATGCATTAACTGCCTAATCAATCACTGGATGTCGGTTACCAATGGAGCTGCGTGGTGCCAACGTTCACAGTGAGTAATGCAGAGAAATTAAATTCAAATAAAGTCACAAATCAATGAAAGCCAGTCTGATATGTCAGTATCTTCCAATACTCGTAATATTTATTTTTTTAATTATTAAAATGTAAATTAGCTTTGAATTATGTCTGTTATTCATGATGAAGTCAGGTTATATCACTTTTTATGTTGAATCGACATGAAGAAATCCACAGTAGCAAATCCTTAAGAAGAAATATGAGGCTTTGACGTTCATACATCATCAGCACAAGAATCCTCATTATGAGCTGCAGTTTGCAGTAATCGATTCCCTTTCACCTCAGATCAACTTCTAATTGGATAATTAACCGTCCCGTTCCACATCTCCGTACGACTGTAAAAGCACCGCTTGAATGTTGTGGTACCAATAAATATATTGAAAATACCGAGTAAACTGAAAATGAAGTCCTTGTCATTGTGACACAGCTCACCACTGCACACAACCAAATGTGACCTCTGCTTTTAACCCATCACCAAAGTGAACAGTGGGCAGCTTTAAGGACCGGGGAGCAGTGTGTGGGGACAGTGCCATGCTCAGAGCACCTCAGTGGTAACTTGGCAGCTGGTGGACTCGAACCTGAACCCTCCACTTCCTTAACCACTAACCCACCACTGCACTGTAAATATGAATGTATTCTAAAGAATGAAATAATAGACCCAGAAATTCCTGACACTATACAGCCTGAAGTAGAAATGAACCAATACATAAACGGCTAGAAAGGGGCAGTCTAATCAATTATTAAGAGCTTTAAACAAATAAAACAAGTTTTCCATTCCCCAGAGGTTGGAAAATTTAAAAATAATATATTATATCCTGTTTTTTCTTAACACATCTGAGATAATTGTGGGGAAAAAATGATACGTTGGCTTATTTCTCCTCTGAGTCAGTTTTTTTTCTTTCCATTGAACACCAAGATATCCAAACTCATATCCAATCACAACATTTTTCTGCTTCAAGTCTTAAATGAAATGAAAGGTGTTCAGGTTTTGTCCAATTGTAAGTCTCTGTATGTGGTTTCACTCAGGGAAGAGCTGTCTCATTCCTGAAGGTGTGCATCTTTTATCCAAGCTCAGATTTAACTCATATTTGTACAATAATAAATTTCGGCAGAATGTATGACTGTTAAGTCTCTAGAATGTTAGCAGCTAAGGCAGATGGAGGACAAAAAAAATAACATTATAGCAAAGATTTTAGAATTTCAATTACAACCATTTTCCTTGAATTTTAAATAAAATAAATAACTGTAGTTTAACCACACTCTTTAGCTACTAATCAACTCTCTCTATATTTTTTTTTACCAGTTGCAGCTTCACAACATTAAAGATTCAGAGCCTATTAACCCTCCCCCATCACCTCCCAGTATACGAGTCTGTCTGCTACAACATTCCCAAACAAACCAGGATAATATCATCACAGGAAGCTACTCATCTACCCAGTTTCTATGGCAATGGGGGGAAAAAAAGGCACAGCGATGTGCCTGGCTGCTCTGAGAACCACGAACATTCCATAATAAGTATGAATCTCTAAAAGTCTGCAACAGGAGCAATGGGAGCCGTATCTGCCGGGAGGATAATTGCTGTTTTCCATGAAATATTAAGTTGCCGTTTTCTCACTGGCAGACCTGTAAAAACACTTGTTATAGTCCTGTTCATGGTATCCTACTTAAATGGGTCTTTTCTATTTCACGCCAACACAGTTTGATGAAACAGGAAAAGCAAGAAAGGACTAGGTTCATTCAGCACCAACTGTCTGCACACACTGTATGAGAGGGGAAGCTAATGTTTTCACACACATTGTATTAAAGGCCAGATTATATATAATATTAGGGTTTACTTTTAGCTAACATTTAGCATTGAAAAATAAATGCTTTATTTTTCCATCCCGTCAGTCAATTTGGGATTATTTTGATTACCTTTGCTGTATTTTAACAGACTACTACATCTACTTTTGATTAATTCCTGCTCATATTAGGACTTAATTTCTTAGAAATAAACCATACATGAACTAAAACTAAAGAGTTCAAAACGGATTTTAAAATACAATTGTAATGCAAAATAAATAAATAAATAAAATACATTTAAAATAATAATAATAATAATATGAAATACTGTTACAAATTGACATGTACTTAATAGCTAGCCTTGAATTTGGTAATAAATGTGATAAAAACGTTCACAATAGATAGGCAAAAGCTTAAAAATAAAAAGCAATACTTTAGTTTATAAATAGGACAAAGATAGATTAAAAACAGAAAAAATAGCTTAAATGCATCCAAAGACAAACAAGTGTAAGCCAATAAACATTGCCAAATTATTGTTACAAATAAAATTATTTGTTGTCTTTTTTTATCTGAAATGCCTCTAAAATATATTTCCAATGTGTTTAAAAAGGTTCTTTTGTTACACTATGAAAATATGAACACTTCTGCTGTTTCCACTTCTGTGGTTCCCCATTCAGAACAGGACATAAAAATAAATGCCTTACCTGTTAAACAGCCAAATATTTCCGTCCAACTTCTCATTCTACATGAGAGACCAATAACTGTGACACCACGCTGGCTACTTTTTTATACTACCACAAATGTGTTGCGTAAAAAGTTTTTGCTATTACAAAATATGGGTGTCCAGTTTTATAACTCTCACTTCTTGTTTATTCTTAATGCTTTCATCAAAGCATTGTGAGAAAAAAACACTACAAACACGCACACATTCTATCTCATATTAGAGCCAGGGTGCAGCCGCTGTGATCAGAAACTACTGTATCTTTACAATATAAAGGCTGATGGAGGCCAGTCTCCCTAAACGCCCTGGTTCTCTCCTGTTGTCTGGAAAACAACTGAAATATTGGGTGTGATTACAGAGAGGCCTGCTAATCAATCTGTTACGATTTATCTCCAACATGAAAAGGCTTTGTTGTCGGCTGCTAATTACTAACAAATCTCCCCAGCCCCGTTGTGTCAGACCGCCACAGACACTCAAAGTTGTGCTGAGTATCCAGGGGAGAGTTGTGAAACAGAACTAAATGATTGTAACGCCTGCCAACACACAGGTCTCCGTAATTTGAAAGGGGATATTTCCCTCTAACCAGTGTTTCCCAACCTTTTTTGAGCACATATATATCATCAGGAAAAACCCCATGGCACACCACAAAACAAAACAAAAAAAAATGACAAAAAGTATATGTAATGAAACATAATTTGTTGATGAGTTTATATTGACTAAAAATGTACTCCTGTTTAGTTGAAGACAACGCTGATATACTGGCAGGAATTGAAGAAAGAGACTCACAAAGGTCTTCTTCAACAACTCTGATTATCTTAGGTTTAAGGTTAGGTTTAATGCCACCTAGAGGAAGAGGATTTAATTGCTCTGCCTGTTGATAATATATATATATATATATATATATTTACAATAAATAAATAATAGTTTTAGCCCAACTAAGTGACATTTTCCACGGCACAATTCCACGGCACACCTAATGATCTCTCACTAATGTGCTAATGTGCCACGGCACAGTGGTTGGGAATCACTGTTCTAGCATCTGCGGAGGTATTCACTCCCGGCCATGTGAGCATGTGTGAGCGCAGCCCAGACACATGAATAGATAAGAAACACATACCCTGGCGTGTTTTCCTCCTGGCTCCAGGTTATTGCAGTGCTAACAGTCAAACAAGTGCACCGCAGCATCTGTCGCTGTGCTGTTGTGGCCGTTAAAGGTGTCATCAATCACAGCGGAAGCCAATTCCTAAGTGCTTATGTGTCTCCAGCCACTGGTAATGTACACAAACCACCTCACACTCCAGATGAAACAAATATTTTAGCACATACATGGAGTCATATAAGGGCATGACAATTTGCAAGGCTCATGGGAACACACGGGCATGATATGAAGACCACCTTCATCATTCTGCTGGGTTATTGATCAGAGCTGAAATGGTGCCGCCAGTTAATCAGGCGACAGGAAAGCAATCACATCCATGACACACACACGGTTATAGATATACATTCCATTGTTATCCTGCCACATCTGTGGAAAATAAATAAAACTAAAAAACGGGGAAACAGTGGTTTAAATCAGACAAGCCTTGGGAGTTGGTGGAAAAGGAGAAAACCTGAGATTCATGGACTACAGTACTGAAGGCAATGGATCATGTGAGTTGAAGGTGATCTCCTGAGGGGAACAATAGGAGCAAAAGAAAAGAAACAGACAGCTCACTGTGTAAGTCAGAAAATACCCACATTACCAAAACTTCAATCTGGGACTGATCATAAACAAAATGAGAAGTATTGTGTCGTCATAAGACACCATTTATCTGCGTCTACTACGTCTTCCTAATAGTCGTGACGAAGAAAGCATTTGTCAAATGATGCCCAAACCTTTGTCCCCTCATCTGGACTTCCTCCTTCAAAAAGAAGAAGTTGATGCAAATAAAAGCAATAAGACAAATGAGTCACATGGTTAACTATGGGAAAATTTCAGCTTTTTTTTTTTTTTTTGCAGTAATGATGAAACATTTTGCAACAATTGTCACTAAGATCTTAATGAAAATCAGTGTTTCTCCCACAACATCTCAATAAACAACGTCCAATTGTGACTTTGCACAAACCGAGTCTTAATTGATGGCTATATCCTGAACAAATGGCTCTCAGTAAACGCACCTGTGCTCTTTCTCTCCGACTCACAACTGCACACACACACAATTCAATACCAACAACAGTGTTGCAAGAGAAATGGTCGCGAAGAGCAATTCATCACTTCTGTCTTCTGCATTTCTTCTCGCCTCGAGCCCACTGACATTCACTATGATTCATTTCATAATACGCAGGTTTTTCACAAACACATAGTGTGGGAACATGCATTGGCATGTTTTTTGTTCTTTGGTAATCTTCAGATGTTCCAATGACGGACATGAATAATATGATGGCTTTTAAGGTATAACAGTCAAATTTAAAGTGCATCAAATAATGGACAGTGTTTTCCAGCACCTTTCTGTGGAACAACAACCATCTACCTCTTTAGTGTCGATTTGGGTAATTGTGCACTTATTTATCCCATTTCTGTTGTGCTGACTGGGACTTTCCGGAGCCAGCAGTCAGTGTGAGTTCTCATAAGTTGATAATGAAAGTGAAGTGTGAAAGTGAACTACTTGTCATTGTGACACAGCACACCACTGCACACAACAAAGTGTGACCTCTGCATTTTACCCATCAACAAAGTGAGCAGGGGGCAGCTTTAGCCTAACCTTCCGGACCCAATTCTGGTTCCTTAACCACCAATCCACCACTGTCCCAACTCAGGTATCACTGTTGAAACCCGAGAATGAACCAGGGACCTTCAGATGTTAATGTTATTACGTTGCTTCCAACGCTGTACCTCCTATTTCTGCAGAGGTTCTACAGACCCTCAGTTACAGTCCGTCTAAGACTGTACAACAAGCAACTATCAAACAACCAATTTCAGTCACATTTGTCTCCACTTACTGTACCTTCTAAAGCGCATCTCACTGTTAGTCAATAGTTAAGGTTTTACCATGTTTCTGAGGAGATACTGTAAACAAAAAGCACTATTGTCACAAAAAGGACATCAGTTAAAGGAACTGTTGTAAATTTTTAACATACTGATGTTTTTTTACAAGTGTCAAACCAAACTGGCTAATAGCACAGCACTGCTACTGAAAAGAATATAGCAGTACCTTTCGATGTGCTTAAAATGCCATTACAAGTGCTATGCAACATGATCCAGGTTCTTTCTATTTTCCAAATTAAAGTGTTCAACACAGTCACCAGATAAGAGCAATATCAAAATATGATTTCTATACAGTAATAAAGCTTTGTTTCCCTTAGATGTTATGGCCAAGTATTTGGAATATCAAGTAAATATAAGGGAGGTGCTGCAAGCACAGGGCAGGTGTTGCAGATGCGTATGGGTGTTTTGTTAGAGAGTAGTTTATGTTGCTTTGCATTTGTAATGATGTTTTGACCCTATCAAGAGATAAAACATTTGGCTTGAAATGTTACTTGATTGTCAAGGAATAACACTGGTAAAATAAATAAAACATTTAGGTTAAAAAGGTTAAAAACAAACAACAGTCAGAGAAAAAATTAACTTTAAATTTAAAAAGAGAGACAGGATTAAAGCAATGAAAAAAGACAACTCTACAAGTGCACCTACTTTGTGCTGGCATCTGGCTTGAAAAAAGAGTCTTGGGTCTGGCTCCATGTCACGCCGCTCCATTCAGTTTCCTGCTTCCAATCACTGTCAAAACAAAGCAAATACGACCTTTAAGGAGGATGGATTAACCTCTGTTCTCAGGATGGAGAGAAAACATAGACGTAAGTCAAAAATCATTTAACTGCCATCTGATAATAAATGTTACATAGGATGTAAATATAACCAGTGAGGCAACGATTTTTAGAATTGAGGTTGAAAATGTCTTTCGATGACAATTTCATTAAAAAAAAACAACAAACAGATTAGACCAGAGTCATTGGGAGGAGGGGAGATTGCTTTTGATACACGACATTTCTGGTATCACACAGAAGAAACATGTCTATTGTAAATTTAACAATGAATTAACTTTTTATCTTGTCTTTTGTTAAATACTTGAGATCTAGTGTAATCTCTGAGAATTGTGGCTCAGGTGAGAAGCACAAGACCACTACATAAACTCTATTAAATATTTCAATGGTATGCCAATGAAATAAATTAAATGCACTAAAAATGTTAATGTAATAGGCAGTTGCTATGCTGAATGGCCTTGTATTGAATAGTAACGCTAACATGTTCATTCAGCTAAAATCAAGGGCTATTTCTGCTGCAGCCTGAGCCACATGCTAGTGAAGCTGTAAAGTAAGCTGATTAAACACCTGAATTTACTGCAGATAATTAGAGCAGTGCTTTGACGGTATGCCTATTCTTGGCAGATAGGTATCAAGAATTAATGATCCATTATTTAGTTACGACGTGATATAGAGTAAAAGTAGTCTTAGTGGAACTCAGTTTTCAGGAAATGGTAAAGAGGATCCTGATAGAATGAGCTTTTTCTTTTCAACTGCACACCGGAAAGTCCAAGTCGACACCCTATAGTGCAGTGGTTCTCCAACTTTTTCTACTCTGTACCACCTGAGAAAACAGTGATCTCTCTGAGTACCACCATGATGACCAACATTAGAATACAGCAGCAGAGGCCTTCACTGTTAGCTTCCACCACAGGAGAGATGTTTAGAAAGATGTTTAGGTTTAAATGTTGTATTAATTGTGCATGGTATGTTTCAGATTTATTAAATTGAAAATGTAAATGTGAAAATATGAATTTTCCCCATGTACCACTGGTGCCACGCGTACCACAGTTTGAGAACCACTGCTATAGTGCACATGTGGAACACAAATGTCCAAGGAACATGCTTGCACCCTAAGCGCGCACACACACACACACACACACAGACAGGACACCTACAACTTTAACCACATGAAAACAGGCCACCTTTGACTGAGGATATTACAGAGTAAGCAGAGACCGGGGCTGAGACTGACCTGACAGAGAACAGAGAACAAACAGTGTCTGTGTGTTCTAAAGCCAAAGTACACATTATTTAAGTATTTTACCTTTAAGTTTCAAGCAAAATGTTCTTTTATTCATATCGCTAAGGAAACATGGTGACATATGGTGTTATTAGATGGACCACTGCCCTATATGCATATGGTGGTTTGGAATTTCTTAGTAAATGTAGCTCTTAAGGAAAAGAGTTCCTTCAGCCCTATGAGGACAGTTTCACATTTCACAGGAGCAGAAAGATTACATGCCTTGCTGAGCTGGACATCTATGTATTTATATCCACCAGTGAACCAGGCAACAGCCCATTTTTAGTGCCAAAGTCAAGTTTAACAGGCTCTGGGATACAGGAGCAGCCAGTAAGAGAGGGGTGGAGTGTTTCTAATTAGAAAGCTGCCATATGTCAGCCTTGTGATCACTTACACAGCCAGGGAGTGGTCCATGCATAATGAGCATGTAGTGAGAGAATTGATGAAAGGGTTGGAGTTGAATAAGTGGGCCAGAGGAGTGTATGTAGTCTAGGTTAGGTTTGTACTTTCCATGTTCCTCTCTTTCACCACAGCCATTTGTAGAGCAGACTTACATTTACACCTGCCATTTGAGTTCCTAGATTCCCTTAATTCCTATGTTCTGTGTGTGTGTGTGTGTGTGTATCCCGGCACGGCTCTCCTCCCTTAGTCTGCCATCACTTTTCAGCGTCTATTCCTTTATCCATTCCTTTGTCTGCCTCTATCCCTATTCCCCATGTCTACTGCACACTGTCTGCACATCAGCTGCTCTTGTCATCTTTTTTGAAAATGGAAAAAAAATGAATCATACATCCTCTCTTTTTACATCCTGCCTCCTGTCTCCTTTCAAGACGCCTCAATTTAAAATATTTCAAAACCTTCTCTGCACATTTCTCAATTCTCACAATAAAGTAGCACAGCGAACCTGGGTCTACAAGGAGAGAAGGAGAGAGAAATGAAGAGAACAACGGCTGAAGTCGCCGTAGTGGTGGCAGAAAGGCAGCGCACTGGCATCAAATGGGAAGGACAATATTTTTGGAGTGACTTGGATCTGCTGTCACACATACACAGGCACACACGTCCACACACAATGAGTGGTGTTTCGGAGACGGTGTGGGCGTGCATACGCCTCCGTTTCCCAAAATAACCACCAGATGAGGGGCAGGGAGGCAGGGTGAGGTTGGTACAGGAAGATATAAATGGACGCTAATTGTAAGGCTGCTTCAGAGTACACTTGAATCCCACAGACATGTACACAAATGTGTGTGATCTCATTGCATGTCAAATGATGCTCGTTGCATGAAAAATGTGAAAGACAAGCCTCTTTTTCAAGACTGTTTAGCAGCTTTGGCAGGAAAAATATGTACATTTATGAAATAGGAAACAAGCTACAGATGAATAAGTTAGAGTTTGCCAAAGTGAGTATTCAACCGTCTTCCTCAAATACAGCCTTGTTCCCACAACACATGAGTCTATGAAAATGTCACCTACCACAGTTGCAGTCTTTTTGGTATCAGTTAATTTAATTTGAATTTGCACATCAAGCTTAGTACAAGAGATAAGAAAATGTAAAAAAAATGGATTAGATAAGGCAGCTGATGTGAGTAAGAAGGGTAGTAGCCATATGTACTCTAGTACCTAACTGGTATATACTTGTAGGATTTGTGTAAGAATATAAAAACATACCTATTATTATGTATTATGTATGTTTTTAAGAGAATTAAAAACTACATTTCACTGTATTATAGCTTTCCTTGAACAGAACGAAGAGAAAGTCAGCCTGACGTTATGAAAGTTTTGCTCCTGTATTTATGGCATTACTTATAAAAGTGTGACCACACACTAAGCGCTGATGAAGTAACAGCAACTCATTTGTAGTCCCGTCTCTCCACCTGCTGGTCATGTAATAAATTACAACCCGTGCAATGAAGGGCACTCCTAATCCCTGGCTCTCCAGTTAAAGAAAAAAATGTGGATCCTGCGTTAAATCGTCAGGTTAAAATGACAATGACCCTGATGTTTACATAACACTCACATAACTACCTATTTGTTTTACCCAGCCCCACCACCTCCCATTTATTCACGATAGTACTAAAAGCAAACCTTGCATAACGCTTGTGTAACACGTCCTCTTCTCTTTTCATCTTAGGACAACCCCGATGACCTTATTTGGCCTCTTTCATTTTTCTTTTTTTTCAACAACAAAATAATACCTTTTTTGCAAATCCTGAGCTAATTCGACAATTTCATCACTATTTATCTTAATAAATTTAAATAATATACATTTACTAATGCCCTATCCAGAAATAACAACGTAGTGCCTGCGCTTTATTAAAAAGCAATTCCATTGTTGTTGTTGTTTTTAACGGTTTAAACACAAATTAATGACAGGTACTGCCCTCAGTCAGACATGGCAAAAAGTTATTGCGCCTCCACTCATGACATGACGGTGATCCGCTCAAAGAAACAAAGCCCCAGCCCAGTCCTAGTTCGCAACAGTGACGTCAGCGCGCAGCGGCGGCGAAGTGACGCGCCGATTGGGTGAGCTCGGAGCTGAAGTGTGTTACCCAGCAGTAAAAGACAAGACAGCGATAATAACAACAACAGCTGCCGCCGCATGAAGCTAACTAAAGACACTTCTGCACTTTCTGGGCTCTCACTGTGAACATTTCGTGTAAGTAGGTCGATTAACCCGCCGTGTTTTTCTTTGACGTCCACAGGGCGGCTGCTTGGGGCAGCGGCGGCCACTGCCGCCCTGCAGGAAGTTTCTTTTGTCCTCTTCAGTCAACAACACAAACAACAAGCGAGTCAGTGTGTGGTGGTGGTGTCGCTGAATCGGTTCTGCCAGGTTTATAAGCAAACTAACTACGAACACAGTTATACGAATTGTGTACGACTATTCCAAAAACGGCACCTTTTATCATTCGGCTTGGTACACTTTAAATACCTTCGGACAGGTTCATATTAAAGGCGGCAGCGGCAGCTGTGTAGAAAACATTGACCATACAATGGACGATGATGGTGATACTATCTCCATTAGCCTGGAATAATTGGCCTGCCTCTGTAAATGTAGAAAAGAAAATCAATAAAATAGCTGTCACTGGTTACACATTGCAGTAATAACACGGTAGTGTAATAGCTGTAGTAGAAAGGACATTATTTGTTCTCATGAGATTCCCTAATAAAATGTGGTCTTTCTGCAGCTTTGACACATGGTTATTACCCATAAACCATCCCAGTTGACAGCTAAAGGTTCCTGAGTGCCAATAAATGTTTAAATTTTGATTATTGTGTTTTTAAGGCTTGAAAGGAAGAGGCATTGGATAATGTTACTGTTATATGCTTTTGTAATCCAGAGTCCAGTCCAATGTTTAAATTAATGCAAATCCGCTGCTACATTAACTTAGTGTAAGGAAACACTTTGGATCAGTGTTTATAAATTAAGTAATGGGTGGGTGGATGGGTATTTGATTATAAATTAAGTAATGGGTGGGTGGATATTTCTGACATATGACTGTGTTTTGGTTCCTATTTAACTCAGTTACATTAACCCCCCTTGGCATTCAAGGATGTCATATTGGAGTTTGTGCTTTCATTGATTGGAAATATTGTTGTTGTTCTGTAATAACAGATAGTTGAATGGATATTATTTAAGGAAATAACAAGTCTACTTAACTGTACAACCCCACTATGTCGAGATTTGATTCAAGTTTGACCTGGAAGTCCTGAAATCTGTTTTCAGATTAGGCATGTCATGCATAGTTTAAATTAAACTGAATGAGTTATTACCACCATAAGGACAGCTCATTACCACACTATCACTTCATTTATAACAACGTGACACTGAAATGATTTATGAAATCGGGTTGAAAACTACAAACCACTCATACAACGTTTACAGTAACCTTATTGCCATATCATTGACACATACTGGCAAATGAGTGTACATTACATTAAAAGAGGGATCTACGAAGGATTTGAGGAGTGGCATGACTTTCACATCATTCCAGTTTCTGTTTTTAACTACACTGAGGGTTTATGTCGACTGATGAGGAAACCACAACATTTCTTAATCAAAAGCAAGAAGAAAATATTACAGTAATGAGTTGTGGTGAAACAAGTATGTGAGTCAACAGATGCTAGTGTTGTTAAAGAACATCATCAGATCCCTTCTGCCGACATAAAATTCTAAATTCCCCACCTTCTGTTTAATTGGATTACCAGTGGATGGTAAAATGAATGTAGAAGTGTCCATCTTTCCAGATGTCACAATGGCTGCACAGTTCACTATATCGGACAGCGAATCCGAGCCGGAGGAGGAAGTCGAGGGAGGAAAAATTAAGCATTCATTGAATGACCCAGAACAGGTTGTACCTCACCGGCACAACCTCACCCTACCTGAGCTCAGGGTGGCAGGTAGGAGAAAAAAATCTCAATGGATTTTGAAATGTTGCTCTTATAGTTGTCATACCGTATACTATTCTGACTGTAATAGTTGTAAATTGTACCAATTAAATAGTGTATATTCTAAATCACATCACCTTTTTCTTTCTGGCCTCACAGGAAGTCGTCGGATCAGGCTAAATTCAGAGTCACATGCTTCAACCATTTCCAGAGAGGAAGCCTTCCAGTCCTGGGGGGAGGAAGAAGCCGGAACGCCCACAGAAGGAGCTCCTTTCAGGGGACGGTCCAGGTCAGCTCCTCCTGCCCTGTGGGCAGCAAAGAAGTATGGCAGGCAGCTCCGCAGGATGAGTGATGAATTTGACAGCCTGCTGGACAAAGGGGTAAGAAGGCATCATTGGGTTAAGGCAGGAGTCTGCAACCTGTAGCTTCTGAGTGTCATGTGGCTCTTTAGACTCTATACTGTACAATGGCTCTCTGCAGTCGAACAAATGTATCCTAACAATTGGGTCTGATGTATCAGACCAGTATTATAGTTAGATAGCAGACGGCCAGAGGTTGTAATTTTTCACAAAATTCAAGGTGAAACCAATTTTAAACGTCACTTGAATTTTCAGTTTGCTTACCAACAGCAAAACAACATAGCGCTGTCCACTTAACTCAAGATCTGGTTTTTGCAGCTTTTGGTGAATTTTAATTTATGGCTCCTGGGGTAGAGTTACATTGACTTTATTTTCCCTTTTGTGGCAACTTGTTGGGGGTCACCGACCTTTTTGAAACTGAGAGCTACTTCAAGGGTACTTAGTAATACATAGAGCTACTTGTTTAATACAGAATTCACAAACAATGTAATAACAATAAATTGTGGGACATACAATAGTAGACACTCATCTTACCATCATCATTGAACCCATTTGAATATTGTTGCAGGTGGAACTGAATCAAAAAGCACAGTAACAGTACAATTTCTGACCCTCTTGTTGACTAGTTTTATTTTAAGAGCAGGAGCCCCCATTCTCACTTTTCAATCTTGACTTTTCAACTAGATGAGGAAGGTGAAGAGCGCAGGCACAGCCAGACAGATGCACCACTCCAAAAGCTGGTGGAGCTACCTCTTTAGTCACCAGGAGCTGGAAGGAGAAAACAACCATCACGAGAACCACACTCACCGCACTGAGTAGGCAGCAGAAGAGGAAGAAGCCGAGAGAACAACTGTCGTAAGAATACAGGACCAGCTCTGAGTGGGAACCAATGACAGTTTGGTTCGATCAAAAAGATGAAGATCCAAACGTGACGGAGTGACAAGCAGCAAAGCACTGAGGTCCGAGCTCCTGCTCATGTAATTTGAACTTGTTTCTATACATTTTGTGGTTTTGTTGGTTGTGATGTAAACAGCACTGTGAACTGTTCAAATGTGAGGCAGACTGCCAGCTCTTTAAGCCAAGAAGATGCTGTCATTGAAGAGAGAATATGAAAGGGGACTGAAAGTTGACTATTCAGTCACCAGACGCTCAACTATTCTGCTGTCTTTAACATCAACACTATACAATATACTGTAGATGGAGAGATAATTGTACTGATAGGGAACACTTTTAGGACGTAAGGCCTACCTGACTGCTGTTAGAACTTCCCCCCTTCTTCAATTTCATGGAGGAAGTTGTTGTTTGCGTGTTACCAATGCTTTTGTTTTAATGTTTTAATCCAAATATTGGTGCTCCGAATTGCACAAATCAAGGAGATCACTGTATTGTGTGCCAAAAGAATCTTTTGGGCAACAGAAGTGTATAAAATGGAAGGTTTTTAACCAGCAACCAATGTGGGGCCTTTACCCAGCTTCCTGTTCCGCTCCATGCAACTGAGAACCATAGCCACCACTGTACTCGACTATCATTTACCGCTTTATATTTCAAATTAACCAGAAGAACAATCTTGTACACGGACAATCTCCGACAATGCAGAAATATCTTTTATACAACTTCAGGGTCAGAATATATCTGAAGATAATGACGTTAAAACATATTAAAGAAAAGCACAAACCAATATGAATTTATCTTTTTAAAGCCTAGGATAAGCGCAAAAATCATAATAGTAATAAGATGTTGTAATTTCAAATGTGTAAATATTTTGGTAATATATTGTGAAAAGGGCATTGAGCGAATTAAGAAAAAGCAACATGGCTTGGCCAGAATTGAAGTTCTTGAGGTTTTATACGTGGCTATTTAAGAACCTAGCAATAGGCAGTGTACAATCTGTGGATGTTGTGGTTATTGTTGTGTATATTTAACAGTTGTGGGTGGGGATGGATTAAACTGCTGTACTAGGTTGAACCACTCAACATTTGCCGCAAATTTTCTCTGCACCTGGTGCAAACTTAAGTGCATTTCCTGTCCTGATTTCTTAGTCGATCACAGGGGTATTAGTTGCATTTGTCTCAAAGAGGGAAAAAAATCATATAAGTTGCACTGGTCTTAAGTCACAAATATTTCTTCAAATCCACAGCAAACATTTCATCTAGAAAGACTGTGAAGGATATGGTTCTAGAACCAGCCATACTACTTAAAAAGTCCAAAATATACAGTATATGAAATGTGTATGTTTTCATATTATCATAGTTATAAAAATAAACGCCCACTGCTCCACAATTTGGTAATAAGATTAGTTTATATGTGATATGTCTAACTATTGAAATTGTTCATAGATTTGTCCTCCTTGTGTCTTCTTCTCTGGACTTGTGGGGTTAAGGTCAAGGATTGTTTTTTTGCCCTCTTTATACTTAAAAAAATATAGCCTTTTCTAGTCTTTGTGAAAGACATTTCTTAAATCAATATTTCTATCAATCTGAATTGATTCTTTTTCTTTAAGATCCATTCAAATCTGAACATTATCTTGACACAACAACTGAACTATAATGTCTTATTGTTTTGGATTTGCTTAAATGCCTCTGAAACGACAGTGACTTGACTGTTTTGTCATTCCTGAAAGTCCTGTCTGTAAATGCAACACAACAGTCTCTGACAGAGTCATGAGCCTGGTGCCAGACCTAATAAAAATCAAGTTCAGGGAATGATCAGCCTCAAACGGCCTTGAACAAGCTGTAACCTGTGACGTGCAACTGCAGAACCAGACCTGCCTGTTTACTCAACTGCGCCTTAAAACCTTTACAGCTCACTGTCAGAGATTACACTCAAGAAGGAGCACAGAAAATAACAGTGACGCGTTATCAGTAGGTGTGTTCACCGTCAGAACCTGGCAGTTTCATCAAATCTCATCAGTCAATGACTTACAAAAAGATTTGAAGATGAACACACCCTTAAGGAAGACCCTGCCTGGCAGCTGGAGTTTTTATCTTAATTGTTATTATTTTGCCTCTTCCTTGACTTAGTATTACTTGAATCTGGAGACACGTTTAAAGAAAAAAAAAGTGAATTTTTATTAATTTGATCCAGTTTGTCCAGTTTAACATTTTTGTAAATGGAATTTCGCTGAAGCAGTTATACTTCTGGTATATGCTTTTCTGAATAAAAAAAGTTTGAGTGGTTTAAAAATTCATCTTGTGTACCAGTTTGTTTTAACTGCCGAAATGTATTTTCTATTTTAGGAACTTGCGTTAAAAGCAGATCTGCTGCAACAGGCTGCCCCTTGCGGCTGCCAAATTTGTGGTTTATACAAGTGTTTATATAACATATAAGTGTAAAATATGTAAAACATTAAGTTGCACAGCATTTCTTTGGGTTACATGAAGAGCGGAAAAATCTAGGCTAGAAATATGCAAAAGAAGTAAAGGCAGTTGGAGCACAACAAAAACACATTTTCACTGATTTCCATTGGAAGTGAAAGTGAACTCCTTGTCATTGTGACACAGCACACCACTGCACACAACCAAATGTGACCTTTGTGTTTAACCCATCACCAAAGTGAACAGTGGGCAGCTTTGAGCACCCAGGCAGCAGTGTGTGGGGACAGTGCCATGCTCAGAGCAGCTCAGTGGTAACTTGGCAGCTGGTGGACTCGAACCTGAAGCCTCCCAGACCCAAGTCCACTTTAACCGCAAAGCCACCACTCCCCCAAAATCATGGTACAATAGTAGCTTTTGTTTGTACGTGGCCAGTGTCTAGTTCAAAATAACTATCATACTCACCATTATGCTAATTCTGTTGGTGCTTGAGTTACGTTTTCAGCAACAAAATAGTGCTGCCTGAGGGTAAGTGAGAGAGACAGTGATCCCATGTTAGGAAATATTAGGATAGTTTTTCTTGATGTTAATCTAGAACATAAAGTATGTTTTATGGGCTAAAGAGACAAAGTTGGATTAAATAGGAAGATAATTTGATGGTAATATCAAAATGTAAATAAGGTTATTTATTCAGTGCCAATTGGTATCAAATGATCCATAGCCTGGTACCAGTCTACGGCCCATTAAACTAACAGAAAAATAACAGTTAAAACATGTAACATGGAAAAAATGCATACGTTTAATACCTATCACTCCTGCTTTACTGGGTCAGAATTGCAAAGAAAAGAGCTGCTGTGAAGAGGCACCAAAGGGAAAGGGTGATCTGTTTAAGCTGCGTCTGAAGGATCCCAGCAGCAGCGATGGCCACAGTCTAAGGCTGACAGAGTTTCCATGTCTGGGTCACTCAATGTGAAGTCAAAAACCTCAGCATTTTCCTTTATTCTGTCTGGATTTGACGACTTTGGGAGCACTGGGACACCCTGCTGCACAGCCCAGCGTAACAGAACCTAAAGGTGAAAAAAAAACAGAAATATAATGAAGGGTTTAATTTATTCCAGATTTTACCTTAGTTAAAGTTTTGCCCAAATAAAATATTAAAATGTATTTCAACATTTAAAATCATCTATATCATTATTTAAACTACAGCTTCCTAATTAGTAGGCAATTATTTGGTTACTCATTTGCATTTTTATCAGTTTCAGGGTGTTGTTATCATTGTTGTATACAGACTGTAAAATCATTTACAGACATTTTTATTCACCTTTGTAGCATGATTCTGTTCCTTTTCTGCCAACTACTAAGCTGTCATTCCATAGAGTGTGTAGTTTACCTGCGCAGGTGTGCGTCCACACTTCTTTGCCATTTCCATCACTATGGGATCAGTGACCAGCTCTCCTCTCCCTAAAGACGAGTAGGCTTGGAAACACACCTCATACTCCTTACACACTCTCCTCAGCTCAGTCTGACACAGCTGTGGGTGAAACTCGACCTGGAGCATAAATAACACATAAAGACACTCTTAACTGCTTTGTCTGAGGTGTTGTCACAAAGTCAGACACCAATACGGTTCTTCAGATTGATGCAGCTGTTTATTGGACCTGTAGCAGTGCTGGGGGGATTCGGCAGTTCTGCATCAGCTCCCTCATGTGTGCTGGTGTATAGTTAGACACTCCAATAGCCTTCAGCTTCCCCTGACTGTGAAGCTCCTCCAGTGTGGCCCAACTCTGCGCTCGATTCCCTGGAATCAAATATTAATTTAAACCTCGACATTGGTAGGAGAAATATGTTAGTGTGAAACAACCACTGGTGGATTGGATTTCTGTTAATGATAAGTTTGGAACGTGAGTTTTTATTTCATTTTGAGCATAAATGTTCAATTTTGATAAACACAGTTTTATAAATATAAGGAAAGAAAGGCTGTAAAGTAAGGTAACACAAATGGTATTTGATCATAACACATTGTAGAAGCAAATGTTTGACAAACATGACCTTAACTAAAATGGTTAACCTGGATTACGTTGATCAGTCACGACCAGGCCCTGTGTGCCCGGCCAGTGGATAAGGTAGAGGTCAATGTAATCCAAGTCCAGCTGTGACAGGCTGTGGAGAGCTGCCTCCATGGCTCCCTCACCCTGATCCTTAGGACCCAGCTTACTACAGAGAGGAGACAAAAAAACAATCATAAAAAAAAGTGCTTCCATGCTGCCTCAGAGAGATATGAATTTAAGATATGTGATATCTAGAATTGGTTCTTCATCATATTTAGCTACCGCAGTTACAGGAAGGATAACTATAGACACTTCATTTTATTTTTTTGAAATATAACGGCCTTCTTGGACAATACATCACCTGGTAATAAAAACATCCTTTCGAGTTAAGCCATATTTGGGCAGAAGTTCCCTCAGGGCTCGACCCAAGTCAGCCTCGTTCCTGTAAACAGCTGCGCTGTCGAAGGCACGGTAACCAGCTGCCAGGGCAGCATCCACAGCCTGGTACACATGGTCAGTACCACACAGCTTGTACGTCCCCAGACCTAGAAGAGGCATTTCTACCCCTGTGTTCAGTAGAACAGAGGTGGGGGAAGAGGAGGAGGGAGCTGAAGCAGACATCTTGTCGGAAGGAAAGGGTTTTTATCAGATCCAAGCTGTCAGATGGAAGATAAAAAAAAAAGAAAAAAGGATGTTATGAAGGCAAGAACTTTTCAATATTTGTGGCAACAATCAATGATCGATTATACAGCATATTTATTGTGTGTGGTATCACAATGATAAGTAGACATAGTAATTATGCTATCACTCTACAACAAAACAAATCAGTTTGCGCTAGTTGGCCAATGCTCTCTTTAAAAATGTAAATATTGTCTTTATGCGGAAGATAAAGGCTGCTATATGCTAAATTCAGTTTGATCATAAAGTCCTCCTGTGGGGTGTATCGTCAATCGTTATAAATAATGCACACTTTAAACTACAAATATTTTGTGGATGACTACACATATTTTTACATGGCTATTTTTTTCTTTTCATGAAGTTACGGTTTTACTGCTAAAGGCATATGTTAGTTACAATCAACACACGTGCATTTAGTTAGGAATAATTTTGTAAAGGTAAGAGTTTGTTGTTTGTGTAAAAATAAAAGGAACCTCACCGTGCTGTTCAAAACAAATGCAGAAGTTTTGCAGAAGGACAACTTAGGTAAACTAACGATATATTCCGTCTACACTCCACTGTTTACAACCACTATTTGTCTGACTTCTACCGGATTTTTTTACCACGTGTTCGGCTGACAGTCATGTGACATTTTTCTCAGCGGTTTTTCTCACGGGATTTTGCACCGTCACGATAGTAACAACCAGCTTTGTCGTCACTGATTGAACAAAAACTGGACCAATCACAAAAACAGAAAAGACCTAAAAGGCGGGAGTTTTTTCTGCCAGCAAATCAAAGGCAGTTCAGAAGTTTGATTGACAGGATTTAACTGTTGAGCTGCTGCGCGAGGCCTAAGTTCACAGTGGCACAGCAACTGGAAAACACAAGCAGACCACTGTTTACTACAGACGTTACGGTAATTAAGCAAGCGGCGAAGATATGTTTCGCTAAAAGCAAATGAAGTTATATTAAACCGCTAACCTAATTCCAGTTATTATAACATGACATGTAATAATTTATATTAATTTAACATTGGGTCAAATCTTTAGGTCTGCCATGGCTTTGCGGACCTTTTCATTCGTTCGTCCTGAAACAAGGTTCTTCAGAGCTGGTAGTTGTATCTACATGTTTAAAATCAGAGGAGGCAGCAGCTTCAGGCAAGAAAGAGTCACACGAATAATTTACTCTTAAAATTTTCAGTAGAGTCACACGAATAATTTACTCTTAAATGAATAAATAAAGGATGTTTAAAACGCATTATTTGACATTTCTATTTGTATGAGATTCCTGTGTTCAATGGCAAACTACTACAAAGCTATTTAAATAAATAAATAAAATAATTGTTTTTATTTGATAGCTAAGTTTTTAAATGTCAAGAATTGTGATGGTATTTGAATCCTGGCAATCAGATTTCCATAGTTTTGAATAAAAACTGGCAATGTGGACCTGTCTGATCCCTAACAGACATTAGTAGCCGAACCTTCAGTCATTTCAGACTGGTTAATCAACACTAAATGTACAATACTTTTTGTATTGTGCATCTCATGTTTTAAGACCCAGCAGAAGATGTTTACTGATAAAATGTCCTTTTTCTAATCAGTGAGAAAGAGACAATGCGAGGAATCTGCATCAGTCAGGAACTGGAGGTAACTATGTCATTATTTCCATAATAGCAATACAGGCATGACTTAACACAAGGAATATAATTCGACTCCCTGTGTTTCTCATTTCACCAGGACATTGTTAGAACTGTTCTTGGCAATCTGGACAGACTCCAACCCTTCTCTAGTGTCCACTTTAACATCTTTCCCAGTATCCTTCAATGTAACCTATATATATATAGCATTCTAGGCATGTATTATTATTCAAATTCTCATATACAAAGGAAGAAAAAAACTGTAAAAAGTAAATAAGTGCAATAATGTGGTTTTTGCCACAAAGCTGCCTGCACCAACTTGTATTATCTTCCAAAATCCCTGTGTTTTGCTAACAGCACTGACCAGATAAGATTCAGTGGAAGCAGTCTGTGATGTGCAACCACTGCAGGCAGAAGCTCAGAGTTTACCCTTATGTTCTTATCCTTCGACTGGAAATAAACATACACACTGGTGAGGGAGGAACACACTGCTTGTACAGATGAAGGATAAGATACAGATGTCAAAAGACAAAAAACAACTGATGTGGGCTGTGATAACAAAACGTTTTAGGTTGTTATTGTATGATCAACATCATTTTATACAACATTTTCATTACATAACAACAACGCCAAAACTGACAAATAACTGTGTTATATTTGTTTTTCTTTTGTTTGTTTGTTTTGTTTTTTGGCAAACAAGCTGTGAAGAAACAGAGTTCTGTAAGTATTTTTATAACATTAAAAATCCCAGAAATGTATTGGTTGTAAAGAAAGTGAAATCGTAAACTTCTATACTTCTATATAATGTCTATATAAACCTGAGTTGCCACTGTGTCTGCAGAAGAATGTGAATAAGCAGCACTACATTATGTGTGAGCCAATGGCAAAGCGCTGTAGAAGAAACTCGCCACTAGAGGAGGCCATACTCAAGGACATGATTCAGGACATGGTGGCTGACAGCAACATGTCCCTGGGAAGGTAACACCACAGCTGCCTTTATTGTACAAAAAGTGTAACTTTTAAACATTTATGTGTTAAGTAGCTGCAATTCTACTAAACCCTGAGGTCACAGAGGTCACATCTACTGTAAATACATAGCTATGACCCATCCTTTTCATGGATGCCACATGGGCATCTGTGGCTTACATGTATTGATGGTCTGCAGAGATCATGCTGTTTGACTGATTAAACAGTTATTTACTATTTTGAAATAATTAAAACATATATAATATATATATCACATAGCATTGAATGTGAAATATAATATAATACTTTAATATAGGTTTTTAAAATAGTATACACATATATACAGTATTTTAAAAAATGGATACTACCCAGACAGATCAGCAGCCTATCACAAACATCCAGAATATATATGTATATGTATATATATGCACAAATGTAAAATCATAATAATATATATATATGTGTATTATAATAATGTTTACAGTACATATATATATACACTTACATCTGAGCTGAGTAGTAGTGGTCCATTCTTGTGAGGCAAACAAATTAGGAATAGAACAAAAACATTTGTGTTCATGTTGATCAATTTTGCATTAATGTTAAATTAAAAATCTATTATCTTAGCACTTTTTGACCACAATTAACATTCATTTTTGCTTTAACTGATATCTGCTTATTTTGTTTGTGTTTTAGGGGAAATTAAAATTTTCTCATTGACTGCCATGCAATTTCATACAAAAATACAAATATAAGTCTGTTCTTCATCGTACATTTAAATGCATGCAGCGCACACGTATACACATACACAAGTAAAAATAAAATCAAAATGACCGTGAGTACCAACCTAATCCACACACACACACACACAAATTCTTCAGTTAGGAAACTTACAAAAGGCAAATTGGCGCCAACTCAATCACCCTGACAGGAGGTGCAGCTTGGCAAAACTCAATATTTAAATACACACACACACTCATTGACACACAAACAAGCTTTTCTCCTTCACTGGGTTCCTATTTAAATTACATAAACAGAATTGTCTCCTCTATTTAAAGCTTGAAGAACACAGTCAACTGCACAAAATGTGTAAACACAGAGAGAAAGAAAAAAAACTTCAGAGGCCTCGAGCCTTGTTACTGATTCACAGGAAATAAAGGTTTAGTGAGCAAATCTCATTGAATCATTGTCATTGCACCAACCATTACGTTTACATGTCCTCACAACAGTGGCACACAAAGGAGCACAGCAGGAAATCTATGTCAAATAACGCAATGTAAGTTCCACAAATGTTACTCTTGAAATGAAGGGGAAAGTCAGTGTGTTCCTGTTTCTATATGTTCCTGCTCTAAATATGGAAACAGAACATAAACACTGGACGAAGAGAAAGACATAGCACAGATCTGACCCACTGTCTATGTCTAAGCTGTTTAAACTGGCATTTACCAGTCTCATTGTCTCATTCTCAACAGAGTCCTGTTCTGGACAGACACACAATAAACAAACAGTTGACTGAAGAAAACAGTACTGACGCAGAGCACAAGAATGAACACGATAAAACCAGTGTCAAAATGCCAGCAGAACAGATCAAAGAACAGGAACAAATGTTCAGAGACTTTTCAGGTTCTCTTATGGTCCAAATAGAATCCGACTGGACACCTTTAGGTCCTGATGTGTGTTCTAAGTTGAAGTGGCAAATAATTAAAATGCCTTTTTGTCCCGTACTGTACCACTGCAGGGTTGCTGAGGCCTGGGAGTACAGGTCCTAACTGATTCATTATTATTCACCCTGAAACAGACCCCCAGGAACTCCTCCTGCAGGAACTCTTCCTAAAAAAATACCCCATTTGAAATAGGCCTGATCATGCCTTATGGGCGCATGGTTCTAACTCAAGCCCTGGCAACAGGACAAGGAGAACTCTCCTATGGGGTCAAACACCTTCAGGATGATGAAATTAATTTGAGAATGTCCATGGAAAGGAGGCTGCTTTTATATTGTAGCATGATAGTTAAACAGATCATTCAGTAGGTCCCTGGTTGCAGTTGATGTCAAGGGACATCAGCCGGGATCAGTGGGAGGACAATAAAGACGAAACCATGTATGTGCATACATTCATAAAATAATTAATGCATAACAGAATCATTTTGTATAATGGGATTAAATCTGGAGGTAGTTTCTTTGATATTCAGATGTTCATTTATATGTACTGAATGAGAATAAACTATGCCTTTGATGTACATTTTTTATCTCACACAGTCACGGTCCAACGACCAGAAGGTGCACGGCCATGAACAATCCTGACTCGGAGGCAAAGATGACAGAAGACACAGGACGTATTGATGAGGTGACTCCTTTTATCTAGTCACTCAGTTCATTCATCCACAAACTCCTCACTGGTTTAGTGGTTTTGTCACTTTCTTCAGTGTCAAAAGTCAAACTTGTTCGTTTCAGACGGCAGCCTCTTGGAAGTCAAACAATTTTGCTTTTTTTTTTCTTTCTGTTTCCTCTCCATCACATATACAAGCTAACACTCACTTGTGGCATCTCATCCTTTATGGCAGCCTCAGGCTAACATTAGCGCAGACAGGTAGGATAACAAGGGTGATTAAGGTTAATAATAGGACGACATCAGACAAAGAGCCAAGCAGAGAGAGCAGGCTACATGTTTTCTCTTTCTGAGTCTTTCTGTGTGTGTGTGTGTGTGTGTAAAACAAGTGTCAAAAGACTCCCTCCCTCTCCTCCCGTCTTCCTCAGCCCCTTGTCTCCTCTGATCCTTTTCTCTTTTTACACTCACTTATATTTCTTTCCATCCCTTCTTTCTCTGGCTTCGTTTTTCCCCCTGCTTTTGTTTCAGATGGAAAAATGATTTAAACTAATTATGTCAGCCCATCAAGTTATTTATTTTCTTAACAGCGAGAGGGAAGTGCTGATGCAAGTCTAGAGCGCTTTAGAGAGGATTAGTGTGGAAGACAGTGATGACCTCAAGATGATTCAACTTGTGCGCAAGTTTAAGAGGAAGCTCAGCAGAATACGACTTACACCACATGAATTCCAATTAGTTTTTAATTGAGATAAAACGCTAACTTTGACTGAATTACCAGCCTAACTTTTATTCTTAAACATAAAAAGATTTTTTTTTGGAAACATTAAAGTGAGTTGTTACAAGTCAAAAAGCGATTAAATATTAACAAAGCACATGACTTGTTTTATTATACTAACTCCTCTCACATTTTAATTGGTAGCCAAATTTGGCAAATACACAAACATCTACTCTTTGCCTAAAATCTAATACTTTGTTTTTGGTTTCATTATTTACCTTTACAAGCAGAGGAGCGAATGCTGTGAAGTACCTCAGATGAAATCCGCTGATGACATCATCAGAGAGGGCCAGAGTTCAGACAGTCTAGAGCTGGAGCCTGAGACCAACCGAGCCGTGCAGCGGCCGGGGATTCTCACCTGGCTGGCCAGGTCAGTGTTAACACAGCGAGTCAAGGGCTGGTAAACAACAGTAGCCAGGTTAACAGCAGCCAAAAGTATTTCATTGCAAACCATAGTTGGGATTCAGACCTGTTTGATTGACATCCACCGCCACAGGAAATAAAAGAGTTGATGCTTGCTGCAGATCTGCAGGAGACAGGAAAGAACGGTCGGGGAAATCCAGCTGATATGTGCTCACAAGTTACTATCGCTGCGATTCTGTGGAGCAAATCTGCTCAGACCTGCTGGGAATGTTGAAAGATGTTGTGTTTTTGTGACCCATTCAACTTGAACAGACTTTTAAACCTTTTTTCTTCCTGACATTGCAGCCGGATCTTCCCTTTCTCCATGTTTTTCAAGGAACGTTGAAAAAAGTCGCTAAGGCTTGAGAGAGGATACAGTTGACCACGAGTTTTGTTTCTGTCTTTCTTATTGACGTGTTGGTCAGTATCATTTCTGTATTTATCAAAATGAACTGTTCCTAAGTGTCCCCACCTGTTCTAAAGTAAATGATTGTTCCAAAATTAACCTCCTCTGCACCTCATTCCTGTTCTTGCCTTTCACCTATTAAAATACCGTACTGCATGTTTTTACCAGAATTGATTCATATAGATGGACAAAAAGTCAGAGTTTTGTGTACGTCTGTGAAGATTCTCATTCATCCAGGTCATGTTATCCAAAGACTTTAGTTGTTAGCAACTGGATTTATTTTTGGAGCTTGAAAGACAAGAAACTGATGAAGTTCCAAGAAGAAGTCCAGTTGCTAACAACTAAACTCTTTGGATAGAGTTTTGTGGAATTAAAGTCATGGGTATAAATGACCAGTTAATAAACAAAAACATCTATGCACAAATGTTTCATCAAATTGCGTTACAAACAAACGAACTCCACCAAGTTACTGTTGTTAAAGGCAGTTTCACGTCACAAAGGATAGTCACCCTGTCAAGACCAGAGGACTCTCAGAAACAGATTCAAGATTTGCTGTTCTAGCTCAGTTGAAGGGTCACAACCAGGCAACAGAGAGGACCACAGAATCAATGACGGACGGTAAACGCTGTGTTCATTTTCTATTAATATCACAAGATGTCCTGCAGTGCCTCTGACTCACAAATGGCCTGAACCAGTGTGACCGAGGATGTTCCAAACACTGTGGTCTTCAAGACGACACCACTGTTGGCAAAAACACACAACAACAGGTTTGTAAAAGCAGCAGCACATGCTCTGGGTTAAAGCACAACAGGGTTGTGTTGTGTGAATTAATTTGTTGCAAGTTATTTTGAATTAATGGTCACCTCTATGCTGAGGAAGTCAGCAGGTACTCATCCATCAAACAGTATAATAGTGGTTCCAAACATGGGAACCACAGTAGGTTCAATTTAATAAAAATGTAAAAATTAAGCTCATTTGTAATTTATTTTCCTTTTTTCATTGATAATAACAGGAATCACAGTGAATTTAGACAGAAAAAGAAAGTTTAGTAGAGTTGTGAAGCAGTACAGTAGCTGTAGGGGCGACTCGTCCACTGCAGTATAGTACTGTTAGTAGTAAAATTTGAAATACTATAAAACTGCCTTTAGCACAAAAAAATAAATGCTCATCTTTGACATTAAAAAGTAAAGACCGATCTCCTTTTCTAAATAGATACTCGAGTGTTTATATAAGTCTAATAAATACTCCCATTTGTGTGTCTGTGTATTATCATTAGTACACATCACTCTGTGGAAACTCCATTTCCTTTGGTCAATCTCTGTTAGCTACAGGTGTGTGTGTGTGTACGTTTTACGACTTTCATTCCTTATGTGTCACCTTGTTGCATATTGTATAAAAAAATGCAGTTAAAAAATGTTATTTGTGTGTGTGTGTGTGTGTGGACATGCACATGCACCACACACACGACCATGTGTTTATATTTGGGGTAAAAGGGTCATCTCAAACATTATCTTAGAAACAGGAAAAGTTTGCCTAATCCTCTCTTTGCTTTGTCACACAGCCCAGAACAACACACACATCATTTATAATAGACATGAACTTGCACCCTCCATTACACACACACACACACACGCACACACGCACAATATCCTGTCCGACATAATGATGCACTCATAGTATTGAAAATGACACACACAATGGGCCATCCCCTACATTTCAGCTCCAGCACAGTCATGATGCACAGACACACACACACACACACACACACACACAGATCACTGTGTACTGGCACAGGGATTAAAATAACAGGGCAGAAGTGGAAGCGGACACATTAATGCTGTTATAGTTATTCAAGACGCCACAGTTTCCACAGCAGCCGAGGGCGCCGGGGCCACTGAGTGATACAAACATAAGTCACCCCGCTGAGTCACACTGGAGTAGTTTGTGTGTGTGTGTGTGTGTGTGTGTGTGTGTGTGTGTTTGTGAGTTACTAGAAAAGTCTCTAGTTTAACAAAGTTCATTCATGTTTCTCCTTCTCTCCCCTCTCTCTTTGGAAGTTACTGCAGCCCATCCAGGTGTGTAGTCTCTCTCTCTCTCTCTCTCTCTGGTTGGCATGGCATTAACAGAAACACACACTGTGGCCGTCCATGCAACTTACAAGTCAAAGCACTAATAGTTTTGTGTGTTTGTGCGTGTGTAGGTGACAGGTTAAAGTGATGATGTCACACATTCCGTTTTCCATTGCCATAACTGGATTGGGAATGTTTGGGGTAGAGGGGCCATAAGATGATAATTGTGTTTTTCTAAGAAGGTGTGTGTGTGTGTGTGTGTGTGAAATTAGCTGCATGTGGTCTTTTCACGGCCTGAGAGATAATTGTGTTTGCAATTATCATATGTATCATATAAATTTAAAAAAAGAAATACAGTTAATGGGACATTGTCATGTGTATTGGTCTCCAATGATCCTGAATCTTAGTTGTATCCTATAATCACCTGAGTGGGCGTCATCTCTGGAGGTGAGGACCCAAATGAAGCACACCCAGGCAGGAACTTGGGTTCACAATGTGGAAAGTAGAAAAGTGAACTCCTTGTCACTGTGACACAGCTCACCACTGCACACAACCAAATGTGACCTCTGTCTTTAACCCATCACCAAAGTGAACAGTGGGCAGCTTTAAGAACCTGGGGAGCAGTGTGTGGGGACAGTGCCATGGTACCAGAGCACCTCAGTGGTAACTTGGCAGCTGGAGGACGCAAACCTGAAACCTTTCAGACCCAAGACCGCTCCCTTACCCACTAAGCCACCACTGCCCGATGTTGTAACTGACAGAGTAGAAACAGGCAGGAAATCAAAACACACTGTACTGTACACACTTACTATGAAATAGAAATGACAGGGGAGAATGTGTGATAAAAACATGCTGTACATATATGCGGGAATCAGTTGTATAGAAAACGTAAAGGTGAACGGTACGTAAAAACCTATGTCGCGCAGCAGCGTACATAGCGGAGGACAGCATGATTGCGGATTCCCATGGAGAACACCACAGCTATTGCTTCAAACATTATTCTTGTGGATTTTTAGAGCTCCAAATGAGTTTTTAATGGCTGAAAAATATTATTTTCATATAAAGTAAGATGATTAAATTTGTATTTATTTTTTTCTTGTCTGTGGATGATTTACACACGCACAACTTCTATTGCATCACTCTCAAGGTGATAACAAGGTCGATTAATAACGGACTCACTCCTATTGAACTGGTCTTTATGTTAGTGATAGGTTTGTTGTGTCTGTTCACAGCCAAATGCAGTTTAAGCAGACGTAAATGTAAACAGGTCATTGATGCGGGCTATTTTTAGCTCTGATACGCACTTGGCTCTTGGTTGATAAGGAGGTGTCTGTGGGATTGAGTCAGAATAAACCACTGTGTGTTTATGATAATGAAGGAAAGTGTTGCCCAGTGAAACGGTGTGTCTCACTGATGTGTTTTTAATAACTGTCTGACAACGGTGGAAGAATACGCTTGGTCACACTTTGACGTCATAGTGCATAACATCTGTTCGTGGGAAATTGTACGTTTCATTAAGTAATTAGGGTTCAAATCTGTTGACCATAGATGTGTAGTCATGATTCGCTCCAGTAAACATAAAATACTACACTACTTCTCCCTTTTTCTTATTATTCTTATTGTCTGCCTCCATCTCACTTTCTAATGTAACACTGACCACCTCCATGTCCTTCTCTACCTCTGCTTATAGACCTACCCCACTCCAACTACTCGTGTAGATAGTGGTTACCCTCTTCACTTATTCATCTGCCACTCCTGGATTTCACACACAGCAAATAAACTCCCACTGTAGTACTGTAATACAGTCCCAGATATAGTGCTTTTGTTGTGCCAATTTCCATCAAGTCTGAGCAGCAGCTGATTTATGACTGAACCAAGGGTAAGGCCTTGATTCACCGGACAATATTTTTGTTTTATATACATTTATTCACATACAGTGCTCTACAGGTACATGTTACACAGCTCTCACTGTACTGTGGACCTGGACACATCCAACAACACTGTGAAAAAATGTCTATTCTTGTACAAAAAAGAAACGACCACCTACTGTATGAAACTTGGAAAATCCATTGAGTTGCAGTGCTGCCACCCACTGGACTTATTTACCACTTGTGAATATACATCCATCAATCCAACCATCTATCCACTCCAAGGTCACTGGGGAGCTGGAGCTAACCCCAGTAGTTAGAGGGCGACATCGAGCACTCATTCAAATCAGACAGGGTAACTTTTTCTGCCTTATTAAAGTATCGGAGTAAATGATTTTCCTATGATTTAAGGACAGATCTCTAAAGATCTTCCGTTCATTGTAACCATGTTGTTCAGTGACCTTTCTGGAATAGTTGCTGCTGGCCAGTTCGCCTTTGCACAAGGACCTAGAGTCAATCATAATTTTATTTTTATGAGCGGTTTTTAGGGTCTCTGCAGGTTTTGTTGGCAAACAACAGCGGTGACTCCCAGAGTAGGATCTCACTGGGAAAAACCTGGAAAAACTCACAGAAAAACTTGACTTTTTTTTAAAACAGGGACCTCAGGAGAGGAAGTTTAAATTTGGAACCCCCCCTCTCCCCTCCCCCTCCTATCCTCAGATGGTTGGAGGAGCTTTTTTTTAAGGCAGCTTAATTTGGATTCTCGCCAGAAGAGAACAAAGGAAAGCCTTTGTAGGTTTTTGGTTTAGTGAATGGAGACATATATGGAGTGACGAGTTGGTTTTCAGTTGTTCTATCACCAGTTGATGGCCATTGTTATGCATAATCAAACACACACACACACACACACACTGTAACAAATAATTAAATCGAGGAGCTTGGAAAGCCAGGCTTCTTAGCTGACATCCTCTGTTCAACAAGACACGGAAGAAAATATCCAGAGCCAGAGATTTGCCCCAATATACCCTGAATGTACCACACACACACACACACACACACACATAGAGGAAGAGAAAATTGACCTAAAGCCACAATATCTTCTGACCCAACCTTGCCCTTCCTCCTGAAGCCACAAATTGAAATCCCAGGCCTCTGAGTGCACGGGTCTCCTTCACTTCAATGTATTTGTCCAATTGCACTGTGTACTGGGGCTTAGAGTGACTATTTTTGGTGTGTGTGTGTGTGTGTGTGTGTGTGCTTCTCTGTGAACATGTGTGCACCTCCTTGCATGTGTAGATACGTGTGAGGTAGGACTGTGTGTGTTCGGCTGTGCGTTGATGGAAAACCTATCTAGTTTTCCTCTGTGTCACTGCAGCAGTCCCCCCAAAGGTTTAAAACAGAGCGTGAGGATGGAGTAGTAGGAGGGACAGAGAAATGTTTGCACACTCACGGACAGGGACAAAGACAGGTTGAAGACGACTCTGAATTTTCGGTCTATTTTTTTGAAGTGTCATCATCGCTCTTGCTGTGCAGCCAGGAGAGAGAAGACACTCAGCTCTCTAATTGTGGGTGTGTTCAGCGCTTTAAGTGTTTTACCTGCGTTACTTATATGAGGCTCCGCAGAAACACACACTCACTCAAACACAGGCGCACACACACACACCTGTACTGCACTGAGACACTGCACTTTCCTCTCCACACTTTCCAGGTAAGACTCATCTCCTTTTTACTTTTTAACTAAAAATGCATTTTATAGACAAAAAAAGATAAAAAATCAATGTTTGATGTGCATGGATCTTTACAGACCTATATATTTTAAGATATAAATATATAATATTTTCAAATGTGCCAAATAAAAAAAACTTTAAGGACACAATTTTTATGTATTTGAGATACATTAATGTGTTTTTGTATGAACTGATTTTTTAAAATGCTACAATTTTGTTTCACACAACTGTTCTTATATGTGTGTTATCTATTATATTTTGTTAATGTATTTATTTATTAATGTCATTATTTTAATTAATTATAGTTTATTTTATTTTATTACCAGAATTTTTCAGATTATAATTTTAAACAGTAAATGACATAATCTGGCGACATGAACAACACTGTATGTGCCCAGTATTTACAATTTGTTTTTATGTTGCATGACATTATTTATTACTAGATTACTGCCTGATGTAACAATAAGACACCGTTTACATTGTTTACATCCAGGGTATTCTTCAAACAGATTTTAAAAAGGTAATATAATCCAGTCATTACATCCTGACTCATGTCTCCTCGTGTACAGTATATCTAAAAATAAAAGTACTGCAAAGAGAAGATCCTTTTAGAAAGTGTCTTGACTTTAATGGCTCAGACCACATGTTGGAGGTTTGAGACGTGTTTCAAGAATCCTAACTCTGCGGTGCTGTGGACTCGGTGGTCTTGAACACTTACTCTCCCTCTACCATTTCCAGTGTCATGTTGTTCGTTACAACCCACTTTCCTCAACGAGGGAACCTTAAGGCGTGGAAATGTCACATCAGAGCAGCATTAATGGCATCCCCCAGGGCTGTTCCTCCATCACCCTAGCGCCCGTTCCCAGCCGAGTTGGAAAGAGCCACTTTAGGGGGCAAGGGTCAGGATCACCAAATTCTTGGGAAAACCTGACTTTACTGTTTACACACGTGTTAGCAAGAGAAGGGGAACCTTGGCACGTGCATCTATGAACACAAGCACTTTGTTTTTGCTCATGTTCAAGACCCAATTTCTAGAGAGACTTCATATGACTCTGCTGATGAAACCTGGACGCACATGCACATTCATCGTGCACGTGTGTCAGCAGGCAGCTGTTAAATGAGGCAGAGTGAGAAGTCAAACAGAGTAGGTCATTTTATTAATTCACGCAGGATGGGAATTCACCTTGGCGAGGAAGTGGAGGGAGCTCTGGGCAACACTTTGATGGGAGAGTCAAGTTCAGCAGCACCGCTGATCCGCCCAGGTTTAGACCCGGGTCTTTGAAAATCTCATAGCTTAATTAAATATTTATACCTGGATATACTTAGACTTAAACATGTCATTATGATGCTGAAAATGACGTGACGTCGTGTGGTGATGATTGAACGTTATTGTACCACCTTCATATGATTTTATGGGGTTTTTTATAATTAACCCAAATGCAATTTTGACCAAATCACTAAATACATGCATACTTGCTTTTTAACAACAAAAAAGTATCTATATACTAAAATGAGCTATAAAAAAGACATTTTCTATAGTAAAATAGTTACATTACAAAGTCAACTAAAAGTCAGTTTAGTTGACAGTTTGGTGTGTTGTCTATTCTTTTGTTTGGACCCTCCAGGCTGCCGTTCACATGTCGCCCTGTCTGACCTCACATCTTTTCCTCCTGGTCGTACCAGTGATGTCACTGCTGCTGCTTTTCCCTCCCATTGGTTGGAGCCATGACAACCCCACCCCTGGGTGTCACCTATACCGTGAGTGACTCCGCACTAGAAAGTTCTGTCCTTTTAAACCAGTAGTTATGGCACGATTGACAAGCCCTTTTGGGGCAGTGGTGGGCTTAGTGGTTAAGGAAGTTACCACTGAGGTGCTCTGAGCAAGGCACCGTCCCCACACACTGCTCCCCGGGCGCTCAAAAAGCTGCCCACTGTTCACTGATGAGTGATGAGTTAAAGACAGAGGTCAGATTTGGTTGTGTGCAGTGGTGAGCTGTGTCACAATGACAAGGAGTTCACTTTCCTTTCCTTTCCTTAATATGAAAATAAATAAATATGACCATTGTCAAGACCCCCTCCAATACTAACACAATCACAGCTGCTCAAAAATTACAATCTAGTCAAATTTGCCCACATGTATTTGTTGATCAAATAGAGAAAATATTCAAACTGAACTTCTTTTACCTTGCTGGGCCCTCCCTGCAACAGCTCTGTGTCTCCTGCAAGTGGCGCATCACTGGACTATGTAGAAACCTCTTCCCATGGTGGAGCTATTTTTGGAAAATAAAGGCATTAGAAAAAAAAGTTAGTACATTAGTCTAGTATCCATCTGATTTTTCACTTTGAAACAGTTAACATTTTGTTTTCCAGGCCTTGCTTTAGGGTTTAAAAATATGACTTTGTCTGAACTGTATGGTCACTGTATGAAAAAATCATTCTACAAAATGCTGTAATTAAAACACAGCCTCTCTTCTACCCCTTTATTCCGACCCGCAGCCTTTAACCTGACCATTCGCAGTGATCGCCGCAGCACATGTAAAGGAATTCATCTCGTGTACGCCTGCGTGGGCTACTGTGAGTCCAGCGCATTCCCATCCAGATACTCTGTCCTGGTGGCCTCCAACTTCACCCACAACATCACCTCAGCATCAAGATGCTGCACCATCAGCAAGGACGCAAAGGTGAGGAGTGGAGATGAAATTTGACCACCATTACAGCTGTAGTTCTGATGTCTAACAGCCTGTTGAACAACTGTTTTTCTCTTAGGTCAAAGTTCGCCTGGACTGCCCACGTGGTCGTCACCATGAAGAAATCGAAATACTAACAGCCAAGGCCTGTCGCTGCGATATGTGCCGCAAATCCCGTTACTGACACACCGCGACAGCACAACGCATCATCACCTAGGAAATGAAGTGAATGATGGCTGACCTGCATGTTTGTTTCAAAGACACACGCACTCACGCACAAAGTTCTGCCATTAAATGATTTATTCCATTGCATTATTCCAAAACAGCATTTTCTTGCTTCTGGTATAGCTTCTGTCTTAAATGAGCAAACTTAACTTGTTGCTTGTGCCTCTTTTTAATGGACACTTTGTCTGACCAATATGACTGCAGAGCTATTTACAACACTTGTTTTTGGGTTAGGGTGCCACCTTATGTCAGTATGTTTTTCCAGCAGCCTAGTATGATTAGGATGATGCTGATGCAACTGATAAAAATCCTCTTTTGTATGTGAAAATGCACCATGCTTTTTAAATTGTTTTTTGTTCATATCTACAGTATCACCTTTTATTGTCACTAATTCTAAAAAAAGAAAAAAACTTCAACCTTTGGGAATTTCAAAGAATGAACAAAGGCTGCAATTTCATCTCCAGATCTAACCAACGTGCATGACTAGGAATCTATCAAAGGTTGAAGTGAAATGTGTAATAATACAGTCAATTTACAATACAGTGAAATCCCACAGCATATGATGATGACTGAGAACATTTCAGTGTTAAATGAATCATTACGTCACAAAAATAAATGCATTTTTCTTTTTACAATAACCACTAAACACAGATATGAGACTAAAGAATGTACAGAAAAATATTTATATTTATAAATTTGAACTGAAAGGCAATTTGTAAATATTATCTATGAATGAAACTAAGCATGTCTGAAATGTCAATGGAATTACAGAAAAAAAATGCACTATATACTGTAGATTTCGATATTTTGTTTCAATAAATACCTTCTGCAAGTTGTACTGCTGGGTGAATGTGTTTTCTTCAGAAAAAGAGCAGAAAAATCAAGAGCTTTTAAAAAATTGAAACGTTATATAATTTTATTTGAAGTTTATAATAAATGACTGATCAAGTTATGACCTCAGCAAACCATCTGAAGTCTTCACTTTAAAATGATGTAAAATCAGGTATATTTGTAAAGAAGCAGGAAAAACATGGCGAGTACAACTGCGGACCAGTCGAGGTATTTAAACTCATGGCTTCAAGACAGAAAACTCAAAATTCACATAGTGGTTATTTTATTATTTTTATTTCCGAAGTCATGAGTAACAAAATAATCACAAAGACTTACAGATCATTCTTTACTGTTTTACAAATTGATTCACATGAAACCTCACCTAAAATATAAACATGCTTTGACAGTGCTTTTATAATAAGTAAAAAAACAATATTCCCAGAATTCCTTTTGGATTATGGTGAGATTAACTCATTATATGATAGTTTGCCAATCTGTACGTTAAACCGTTTGTATTGCTTTGTCCCTTAGAAGGTCTCACACTCTGTGTCCTGTGTGGAGCAGATGGCACAGTGGCAGTGCAAGGCCATTGGATAGTGGTAGAGAGAAGAGATGTTGGGTTGGCAGCCAGGCAGCCGGGCGGTCATGTGACGTATACGGCTGTACGTGCATACACGGTGATGCCTCTGGATGTAAGGAGGTTCCGGCACTGGTTTCTGAAAACAAAGGTGGCACAGTTTATAAGATGAGACTGTGTGCTGTTTGTTTAACTTACAAGCGAAAAACCTTATAGCTAGTAGGGTTTTCAAAGTTAGCAATGTGGGCGGAAAAAAAGGTTGGTCGCCTTTTTTACATTCACAATATCATAAGTCTTGTGTCACAGAGTTCTTGACACAACAGCACTTTGCAGTGTACTATATTTAGTGTCGTTCAGGACTAGGTGGACCTCACCTACCTCTGCACCTGATGCTACTTTTAGCTCCTCTATGATCTCGACGTCAATGTATTTGAGGTAATCAATATCACATTGTTGTAGTGCGCAATGCTAGTTACTCATGCTATTTATATAAATATATATATTATTATATTATATATTATAATGATTGTATCTCTCTGTTTCCTGTATTATGAAACTGAAGGCTTTCCATTAAGGCAGGAGGTTCTTTATAGACAGGAAAATAACATGTCAATATGAGTGGCCCATCTGTTTTCATCTGGCATGAATTGATTGTACTCCGGTGGTCTGCCTGACCCCGCAGCATGGCTACAATAACTGTTAGATGCTGTAAAAAGACCAGAAATAAAGTCTTAGTCAAACCCGAGGCTGGTTTCTTAGTTATTTGTCAAACCGGTTAAACTTTACTTTTAGAATCTTACAATAAGTCATCTGTGATGTTGCTGACTTGGAGCTTTCCCTCTCCTCTCCCCAGCTTCCTAATTCAATAAACTTGGTTTTTCAATCATTCTGAAAATGAAGTAGTGCATGAAACTCAGCAGACTGGTACCATTCCCAGTAAAAGTTCTATTGACCCCCCTGATTTGGGAGGATTTGAGCATTTTTATGACAGTAACACATGGGTCAGAACTAGGGCTGGGACATTAGACGTCCAATGGTTTGGGTTAGGTCCTGGGTCATTAATCAGTTATTTAATTTGTCAAAATTCCTGACTACAGAGCCTCTAGAAATAACAAAACAAATATAGAAGTCCTGCTATGAAACTGGTGCTTTGAATTTTTATACTGTTTGTAAGTACTATAATGAAGTACAAGAACATCGTAGAGACCTATGGTGTTGGCAAGACAACACTAAGGCCTTTTTCAGTCACATAGGTATATGGCTCCTGAAACTTGTTCTGCATAATTTATTTTAAAATAATGGTTTAAATATTAATGCTAGATATTAGAACAAACATTTAGAAAATCTCAAATGTTATTTTGACTTGCTTTATTTATTCAATACTTGTATTAAACTTGTGATTTAATTTAATACTTTTAATAATTAAGAATTTTTCAAGGCAAATATTTAATACTTTTAATAATTAAGAATTTAAGAATTTTTCAAGGCAAACGGCATTTACGGCTTGTTATGGCTAACTAGTTCAATTACAGCTTATTTTAACTTTTGCAGGTTTCAGCTATGTATTCCAGTTCCAATGGTTTGTATTTGTAGCAAATAATTTGTTATCGTGGCTAACATATTTTAACTATATTCTATTTTGACAATGTGCTAGGCTAATGTTTTCAAGGCTCATTTTTACATTTGGTGAGTGGCTTTTTTAACGTTTTGGCTATTGACACACATTACTATGAATACATTTGAGAATTTCTTTCTTTTTTACTGTTTATAATAAATAATTTGCTATTAAGTCTAATTCGTATTTAGCAAGTCTATTTATTTGTCAATTTTCTGTTTTTGTTACAATTATCTTTGAAAGATTTAAAAACAGTCACAAAGTGCTGTCTTTGAGTGCAGTAATTATACCTCCCAAGTGTGGCAGCGCCCCCAACAGGCCTCTGTTGTGATGCGTAGCCCCTTGCAGCCAGGTTTCTGGGCCACAAAGGAGAACTCCCGCACTGCACAGCCTCGGAAGCCATGGAGGGTGGTTGACACGGCACTGCATATCACGGCTACCTTGGCAACCAGGAGGATGAGGAAAGGGAGTGGAGGAAGTTGGAAGTGCATGCTGGGAATGATGAATATACAGAGTGTATAAAAAGAAACATTATTCACCACAATATCAAGACACAGGTAGAAATAAGTTGTTGTTTTTTTCTTATGGAACCTAAAATTCAGAAAGAGTTGTCTGAAAATGAAGTAGTGCATGAAACTCAGCAGACTGGTACCATTCCCAGTAAAAGTTCTATTGACCCCCCTGATTTGGGAGGATTTGAGCATTTTTATGACAGTAACACATGGGTCAGAACTAGGGCTGGGACATTAGACGTCCAATGGTTTGGGTTAGGTCCTGGGTCATTAATCAGTTATTTAATTTGTCAAAATTCCTGACTACAGAGCCTCTAGAAATAACAAAACAAATATAGAAGTCCTGCTATGAAACTGGTGCTTTGAATTTTTATACTGTTTGTAAGTACTATAATGAAGTACAAGAACATCGTAGAGACCTATGGTGTTGGCAAGACAACACTAAGGCCTTTTTCAGTCACATAGGTATATGGCTCCTGAAACTTGTTCTGCATAATTTATTTTAAAATAATGGTTTAAATATTAATGCTAGATATTAGAACAAACATTTAGAAAATCTCAAATGTTATTTTGACTTGCTTTATTTATTCAATACTTGTATTAAACTTGTGATTTAATTTAATACTTTTAATAATTAAGAATTTAAGAATTTTTCAAGGCAAACGGCATTTACGGCTTGTTATGGCTAACTAGTTCAATTACAGCTTATTTTAACTTTTGCAGGTTTCAGCTATGTATTCCAGTTCCAATGGTTTGTATTTGTAGCAAATAATTTGTTATCGTGGCTAACATATTTTAACTATATTCTATTTTGACAATGTGCTAGGCTAATGTTTTCAAGGCTCATTTTTACATTTGGTGAGTGGCTTTTTTAACGTTTTGGCTATTGACACACATTACTATGAATACATTTGAGAATTTCTTTCTTTTTTACTGTTTATAATAAATAATTTGCTATTAAGTCTAATTCGTATTTAGCAAGTCTATTTATTTGTCAATTTTCTGTTTTTGTTACAATTATCTTTGAAAGATTTAAAAACAGTCACAAAGTGCTGTCTTTGAGTGCAGTAATTATACCTCCCAAGTGTGGCAGCGCCCCCAACAGGCCTCTGTTGTGATGCGTAGCCCCTTGCAGCCAGGTTTCTGGGCCACAAAGGAGAACTCCCGCACTGCACAGCCTCGGAAGCCATGGAGGGTGGTTGACACGGCACTGCATATCACGGCTACCTTGGCAACCAGGAGGATGAGGAAAGGGAGTGGAGGAAGTTGGAAGTGCATGCTGGGAATGATGAATATACAGAGTGTATAAAAAGAAACATTATTCACCACAATATCAAGACACAGGTAGAAATAAGTTGTTGTTTTTTTCTTATGGAACCTAAAATTCAGAAAGAGTTGTTTTACTGCTGAAGAGTTTCGACTGAATGATATGACAGATCATATAATATAGACTCAAGTGACAAAATGTTTGATCGAATGTTTTACTGCTGAAGAGTTTCGACTGAAAGATATAACAGATCATATAATATAGACTCATAACTTATTGCAGACAATTCCCATCAGTCCAAGTTGATCAGTGTGACATAAGCATTAAGTCACACCTCCATCTGGTGTCTACTTTAGCCACTGCAGCCATTGAAGCGACGCAGTTATATTTATTATGAAAGAAATAGTAAAAATGAAATGAGAAAAAGAGAGAGAGAGAAAATACGGAAGGACAGAAAGAAGGAAAGAAAGCTAGGAAGGAAGGAAATAAGCCTTTAATATTTGATTTGGGAGTTCCTTAATATGACTTTATTGTACAGCAGCAGTTTTTCTCATTTGGTCTGAATCAGAGCATACTCTGGCCTCTAGTGTTATTGGAGACATCCGCTCAATTATTCTGCACACTGTCAAGCCGACTGCTTAAACTGCACTGAAACACATGGATTCAGCTTTAACAAAACAAACCACACAGATTAAAATACTTCCTGTGCATAGACAACACAACTCGAAATACCTGCAGAACTTCTAACGCAACAAAGAAAAAACTCACGCAGCACCACGAGTACACAAACTAAACTTCATGATTACTTTCTCTTCTTGCAACAATTCAAATAATTAAAATTAATCACACACGGTGCACTAAATGGTCTGAGATAGTGTATTGCCCAGACAGTAAATCATGCATATTTATCTTTTGTATAAAAATAGAATTGAAAAATTGGATTATATCTTACCTTTTAAGCCAGGAATCTTTTGCACTCCTAGGATCCTGTGTTTCTCTCTGCTCAAATAAGCGGTGAATGGAACCAATCTGTACTTGTTATTGTTTTTAGAAGGCCATTAGGGCGGACGGACACTCTGACATCATAGCAATTACAATGAAATACCATTAGAGACCCCGAGCCAAAAATAATGGGTACTCCCTGGAAAATGCTGATACTTGTCTATGTTGTCTTAACCCAAGCCTGTATCTCTCTCCGAGTGTGTGTGTGTGTGTGTGTGTGTGTGTCCTTTATCCAGCTAGTCAACTCCCAATGATGTCAACTTGACACTTGTGACAAAGGAAGAAAGTACAGAGAGAGACTACAAAGAAATCCTTAAACCCTCCAAAGCATTAAATAAATTAAACAAGACATTATTTGTTATGACTGTCATTTAGCTGCTGTTTCACTAGACAGGTCCATAGGGTTTCACATAAAAATGCATACAATTAGTGGTTGTTCCTCAAATTGTTGCAATATTATTATAATATTTAACCTGTGTATACATTTTAAAACAGAAAGGAAAACAGATTAAGGTTAAATTAGTTTAAATTTCCATTTATGTTTTCAGTTTTTAAAAAAGAAATATTCACTTACTCTTATTTTAACTTTTTTTGATTTTTCTGCTTTATTTCTTTGAATCCTCCCAGCAGTTTCAATGAATAAAGTGCACTTCTTTGTGTAAAATACAGTTTGACTCATATTCATTTAAGATTATTTAAGCGACTATGCCTTTAATTTAGATTCAATATCATTATTTACATTTTACTTTTATTTTAAATACACACTGATTTGATTTAGACACGTTCTGTCTCTGTGTGACGTAAACCCTTCCAATTTAAGTCCTTAAATCAACTAACCTTGTGCAATAGTTAGGGATGAGACAGCGTCTGTGGAGCTTATTTATGCACCCGGTTTCCTTCATTTCTCCGGCTGTGTTCACCAGAGGAGAGATGTCAGACGACACTGCACAATTTCTTCTTTTAGGTAGAATATTCTGGAACTGCATTGCACGGTCTCTGTATGCATTTCTATTGAGAGAATGCCACGCTTTAAAGCAGACATGGCCAGAACTTTGCACGTGAGCGAAGTCACAAACAGGAAATGATTGGAAACAGAGGGTGACGTAACGACGCAGGTCGCTGTGACGTCGGTTGAAGTTGCCACAAAGTTACGCAAAAGTGCGAGATTCTGGAGAGACTTTTTTAAAATTGTTGAATCAGACAACCAAAGCAATCGTGACGTCACGTGGACATTTTTGCGCTCTTTGGACACACGCTTTAATGGAATACACCTCGGTCACAGAGTGAACTCTTCAGACTTCGCCTTAATCTCTTCTTTTGTGTTTCAGACCCTAACCCCTAATCTTGGGGATTAGTCTGGAGTCATCTTTGCTTTGTGACTTGGACTCCTTACTGAAAACACTGAGGAACCGACAGCAGAGTTTTCTGAGTGACGCAGAGCCGTCTCTAAAATGTTGGTGCCCTAGACAATATTATGTGTCTGCATCCATCAACACACACTAACACAACTAAACATACGTGCCTGCATAAATAAAAACAAGTTTCACAGAAATTTTAAACCTCTTACACGATATAATCATAACAAGGCGCTATGGGTAAATCAATATGAAGTAAAAATGGAGTACATGTGTTACAAAGCCAGTTTGTCCCTAAGTCAATCGAAATGACACAAACAAAATGGTGCATTGTGCAGAACAGCTTATGGCCAGGTAAATGAAATAATGACAAAAGTATCAAATGTTCTTTTTGGTTTAATATTTTATAACAATTTGTGTTTGTTTTAAACTGTACTCTATGCATGTTTTTATGGCTTGTGGAGGGCCCCTCCAGCAGGTGGCACCCAAGGAAACAGCCTATGTGGCCTAGGTCAAGAGCCATTAGAGGAATCAGGATTTTCTCCTTCAAGTGACTCTGTAGCTCTAATTCAGTCTTCAACCAACCAATATTTTTCAGCTGTGTAATAACACCAGGCTTATCTTTGCTAAATGGACTTTTAATAATGCTTAATGTACATTTGGTGTGCGTTTGTATATTCATTTGTTCACATTGGTCTGTTTTATTAGTGATTCTTTTTATACTTTGTTATTGAAGCAACATATTTTAAGTCAGTTTGTCCACTTTCTGCACCCAAGTCACTAACAAAAGCCAAAGTCCACTAGGAAAAAGGTTTGTTTGAGTTAATTTCCTCAAAGTCTTACAAATAAGCAAATGCAGAAAGTTTCAAGCCACTGAGAAGAGATATAGTTAGATTTAAGATTAAACAAAGATTTTTTTATTGTTCTTTTAACTTATAAAGAAAAGGTTAAATCATAAAAGTTCAAGTTGAGTGTCTGTGAAATAGAATTAGCTTTGGGTAAAATACAACAGCAATCCTGAGTTAGTGACACACTGTGGAAGGCTGAGGATTTAAAATGCCAAACAAAACACAAAGGACTCTGCCCAAGAGGATTTGCTTTACAAATAAGCAAATGCAGAAAGTTTCAAGCCACTGAGAAGAGATATAGTTAGATTTAAGATTAAACAAAGATTTTTTTATTGTTCTTTTAACTTATAAAGAAAAGGTTAAATCATAAAAGTTCAAGTTGAGTGTCTGTGAAATAGAATTAGCTTTGGGTAAAATACAACAGCAATCCTGAGTTAGTGACACACTGTGGAAGGCTGAGGATTTAAAATGCCAAACAAAACACAAAGGACTCTGCCCAAGAGGATTTGCTTTTGTCCTAAAGAAGTTTTTTTTTTTTGAAAGACAGACAAAAACCTTGGACACACAAAAGACAGCACACACTCTTAGATAGTTTTTCTCAAAGTGAAGTTTCATTTTCATTAGCACATATTTTTTTTCTTCCATTCTACACCCACTGTAATGATACATACAGTAGTAAGCCTCTCTACATTCAAACCCCCTACCACTGTGTTGGTCCCCAAAATATACATCATCTTCTTCGTTTTCTGCCTCATCTTTCGCATCATCTCTAAGGTTTTTCTTCAGCACAACAAACACAGACCATTGGGCAAACAGTGCAAATCTAGAAACTGAGTGAAATTGCTACGTTATGCGGTTGAAGGTTTTTAATAACATCATATTTTCACTGTTACTACTGCTCTGACTTATTGCCATTCTATATCATCTATCTCTATGTCTTTTCTTTTCTTGTCCTGCTCCTGTATTTTTACTTTTAGTATCCAGGCTGGCTGTGTTCACCAGCTCCACTCACACCTCCGGTATGATTTAAAGCATTGGTTTGTATATGGTCAAAGTGACCACATGGAGGAGATGTGACCGTGAAGGCAGCTCCTGATGGCTGTCTGTGCGACCATTCCCTGTTCTCTACCAACACTCTCCTCTCGTGCTCTCACTCAAGTTCTCGAGCAGGTCTGTGATGAAAAGCTGTATTCCAACTGATCAATACCACTGATCAATTTAAATGGTCATTGGGATGTTTAGAAAGGTTGGACCAGCATCTACTGGCAGAATTCAGTGACAATCATGTGGTTTTAGTGAACAAGCAAATCAAATAAAAATAATCATAAAATCTCAAGCTCAGTTTATGACAGCAAGGTTGGGTCTATTTTGATTTGCCCGAGTCAAAACAACACTTGAAATCCAGTCTAACTGAATTTGCAGCTGAGTCACTTCATGGGGTCTGCACAAGTAATAAGCCACTGTTTTCACTAAGCTATCACTACACGCACAAATAAACCAATGAAAACTATAAATTGTATACAGTGATGGTACTAGGACAGACCAGGTGTCAGCAGACAGGTGAAAGCAGACAAGAACTGGGAAATGAATATAATCATGATCATGCTGTTTCTTCCCATGTAAGTTAGCCAGTTTACATGTTCTCCTGCACTCAACTCTTTGTTTCCTTCCCTTCTCCAACTCTAACTCTGGCGCCCCCTTAGGGAAACAAATCTTGCACTTTGAGAACCACTGCTCCAGTCTAACAAAATGCAGTACCATTTTATGATCGAATGACATGTCACCTCCTGACTCTTCCTGCATAAAAACTACATTTTTGGAGCATAAAAGTGAGAATACATTGCTCGTTACAAATTCAAATTATTTAATTACAAAATAGTCACTGCAGTTGATTTTGCATTTGTTGCAGAACCAAGTGAAGAAATGTAAATTGGTTTATGTGGAACAAATTGTAAATATAGCGCGTGTATATTTGTGTGTCACTCTGACTAAAAAAAATACATGTAAACATTACAGCTAAATGGATTTCAGAGCATTGTTGACTCAGGCATAATGTAAAGTAGGTGATTTTCGGGAAAAACTGCTGGTCTGAAAAGTTTCTGAATGTTTGGTTCTGAAGCAGGCAGTAAGTATCTCTGCGCATCAAGCGTAAGAAAAAAAAACAATCGTTTTGTTTTACGATACATTCAGATCCAAACCCTGTCCTTCTGGAAGGAGACAAGGATCGAGAGAGAAGTGTTTTCCCTCGTTCTGACACTCAGTCCTTACACATTTCCAATTTGCTTTTTCACTCACTGCTCACACACACACACACAAACATCCGCGCACACACAACCTTACCGTCATCTTCAAATAAAGTTACATTTCCTGATCAAATAGAAAATAAATAGCATCAGTATCAGTTTTCCACAAAAATGAACAAGATTATACAAAACCCAAGAAAGTAAACAACATAAATACAAAGCAAAAACAAAAATCATTTTTCATTAAATAAATGTACACAGAAAGTACCTTTAAGACAATGTGAATATCAAGGACGCAACAGGAGTAAAAACAAGAGTGTGGGTAACTTTTGAGTGTGACACCCACGTTTAAAAACACAGATTATCCTGAAAGAATGAAAATATTGCTAATTTTTTTTTCTATTTTTTTTCACCGTCTCTTTATGCTGTCACTCAATTATAGGAATCAGACAAGAATAAACAGATCTTTGTTGGTTATTATCATCATCATCATCATCATCATCATCATCATCATGATGCTGATCTGGCAGCACCAGATCAGCTGAGCCTTTAGGAACAGATGGCGTGGGATCAGAAGGCCAACTGGAATTTTGGCACTTTTCTCTTGGAATACAGTGTTTTCATTAATAATAAAACTTAAAAACTGGGACCCAGAAAAAATAAAAAATATGACACTCTGTATGTATTGCACAAAACCACGCTTAAAATTAAACATGTATAATTTCAGACTGGCAAAGGGTGGCACTGAACAGTGGTTACCTAATGGATTTGGAAGTATACTGATGTAAATGGGAAAAGCTGGAATATTTTCGCCAATATGCAAATAAAAGTTTTTGTCAGTTTTTGTGACAGGGTGTTTTATTGTCTGGTGTCTAAATATTACGTTATCTCTTTCTTTTATCCCTCGTCCCTTTTTATTCATTATTATTTGGATTTTTTAAACTGCATGGCTGTTATGTTTTTCAGTTGTCAAGAGCGAATACACTGAAGCTATTTTCTAATTAGCTTCTAACTATTTTCAAATTAGCTTTGCAATTGTTTGGAAATGTATTAAAGTCATCTGCAGGGGCTAGGTGAACGTTGTACAACATGTGATGTTGTGGGAATATGTCAAAATGACTTTATCCCCTTTCAACCAATGACACAGATTACTTTTAAATATTACATAGATGTTTTTAAAAATGTGTATTTTAAAATGAGAGAAAAGCCACCGCCGAAGTTCCAGTTGTTTCCTCCCCCTCCGTAAGGTCTGCTAAAGACTACAGTACTCCAGCTGAAGTTCAGCGCTCACACTACGGCCTCACACAGCTCCACCTTGGGTGATGTGATTACAGACTTCCCCTTTATGGAACCTGCTACACTAGTGTTCTTTCATTGTACACTACAGAAATATCCAGAGACATATGTATATATATATTTATATATATAAAAACATTATCATCATCATCAGTAGTACTTAGAGTAGAGTAGAGTAGTAGTAGTAGAGTAACAAGTAAGAAGAAGGAACATTATTGTACTTCATGTCGTCATCATCTTTATCCTTGGTTATTTAACCTGGAGGGACTTTAGATCGTTCTTGTCGTGTGGGACCAGACAGAATGGGAGTAGAGTTAGCGCCAGAACCAGCTGTGTGTGTGTGCGTGTATGTATACGTGTGTGTGTTTGTGGGTTTTTTTTTTTTAAATGTTGGTGCATCAATTACTCATTGTTGTTGTGTTACATTAGTTTGAATTGGATAAACTCTGAGTTGTTCTGTTTTCTCATATTTACAGATAATACGTGTGTGTGTGTGTGTGTGTACAGCGATAATATTGGGAACCTTTTGTGTGAAATTGCTTCTTTTTGTCAATAAAGTGTTGTGCTATCCACGCATGAACCGAGCATCTGTGACCAAAAGATGAATACCGAGCCACAGTACAGACTCAGGTTGATAAAATGCAGAGTGAAACAACTTGGACACATGATAAACTTGACAGTTTTGCACCAAAAGAGAAATTTCATCTCTTATCTAGAGGCAGAGCAGCTTTTAAGTACTGACCTGCAGTTAAATAGACAGTTAAACAGTCTGCACTGACGGTCAATATTTATCTTCTGATCTGCAACGTAAGACGTGTACAGCAAAAAAAAAAAAAAGTAAACCAGTTTCACACAAATCTCTCTGCTAAAAGGTGATATTTGTTTTCTCTTTTTTTTTTTACCTTGGATCAACGAGTCTGTGCTTTTAGATTTAAAAGCCACCTCCTCCATGATACAAGGTTAAAAGAATGTTGTACCTCTCTATCTCTGTCTCCCAGCAATTACACCACCAATGCCATGCCTTCTTCTTGTCCCTTAACCCCTGTGTTAACCGAATGCAGAAGAGCAGCACCTAGGTGGCGCTCTCCCCAGCTCCAGAGGAGGCCCCGCACGCTTTGGGCTCAGACTGGTTGGAGTGAGCCGTCTGCGGGGATGAAGGTGTGGGCGGGTCCCCTCGTTCTCCTCGCTCCTGGAGGTTGCGTTGGTTCCTGGCAGCCTCGGTGAGCATCTGCATGCGACGGTCTTGGTACTCCTCCAGACCTCGCCACAGCTCTGCTCGCTCCCTTTCTCTCTTCATCTCCCTATTGGTGGCATTGGTAGGAAAAGAAGAGAGGAAAAAAAAAGAATTAATGGAGACAAAGAAGTGGAGAAGTCAAGGGAAACAAATGAAGAAGCCATTAGAGCATCTAATGTCTGGAGGGAGGCACATTTGTATTTTTCTTACTCGTCGAGCAGAGGTTGTAGCAGTAATAAAAAGTATTCAGGTGTGAGATGAAGAGGAGAAGGAGAACACTTACAGACAAGATGAGGACTTAATCAACCGAAACCTAGAGCTGGCCGACTACACGGGAACACAGCCCTGAACATCCTGTAGTTTAGAGGGCTTACTCACATACACACGTCTCAAATTTGTTGACAATCTATTTCTATAGCCTCAGCTGACCGTAGAAAGACTACCTCAGAGACACTTTTTTGTCGTCTTTTACATTATATAATCAGTGTTCCTTTTGTGTGTATTTTCCAGGTAGTACATGGCAAAATATTAGGATTCTATTTTGATTATCACAAAGACTTAAAAACAACACTGACTTGTTCCAGGTGAATGTGTTGATATTATTGGCTGCCACCTAGTGGAAGGCTACTTTTGTTCTACTTGTGACTGTGGCATAGATGAACAAAAACAAATGATTAACAGTAAAAAAATGAATGGATTTCAGAAAAAAATAAGTGAAACTGAATCATTTTGACCTGATGATCTTTCAAAGCACAATGCATAGGAATCACTAGTGCAGTGGTTCTCAATCTGTGGTACATGTACCACCAGTGATACGCGGGGAAAATTCATATTTTCACATTTACATTTTCAATTGAATAAATCTGAAACATACCAATTAATATAACAGTTAAACCTAAACATCTTTGTAAACATCTCTCCTGTGGTGGAAGCTAACAGTGAAGGCCTCTGCTGCTGTATTCTAATGTTGGTCATCATGGTGGTACTCAGAGAGATCACTGTTTTCTCAGGTGGTACAGAGCATACCTTAAGGTCTTAAACCAGCCACAGACAGAGATTTAGAAGTAATCAGATTTGGGTATGATACACTTAAGTTTATACAATTTTGCCGTTTGTTATTATCACACAGGATATTGCTTTACATCAAGTATTTCTAACTTACTGCAACTGATGGATTAGCAGTACATGTATGTCTCATTTATAATATTTTCGTAATGGTTTAGGGCTTAGACAATAATGTGGTTTGTTCTTGAGAGAGTTTTTCTACACAGACTTGCTGCAGTTACCAGGACACTGTAGTTCTGCTCGGCAGGGCAGCCAATTACAGATTGAAGTGGGTAAAAACCTCACTGTGCCCTTTCAATCTTTATGCAAATTTACCTCTTAAAAGAACATGTTTTTATGAAGGTTGTTGTTCTCTGGGAGTATCTATTTTCTGAGTTTTTAGCAAGCAAGTGGGATCACGATGAGGTTGGTGTTAAATATCATGACCTCAGCGACACATACTTACGATATGAAGGCTAAAGTGGTGGCTAATGGAAGAAACACTGCTGAAAACATGACTTCACAACCCACTGTTTCCCTCTCTTCTCGTTGTCACCGTTGTGTTTCGGTGACACAAACACACGCAGACGTAAAGAGAGTGACTCATGCTCACTTCTGCTTCTCCACTTTGTAGGAGGCAGTGAGGTCATCAAACAGCTTGCTGTTCATCTCCATGAAGGTCTTCAGCACGTTGTAGATCAGAGACACGATGGTCCTGGAGGGGCGCACATAAAATATCATTCATCTCTTTGAAAGGATTAGATTTGACTCAGAGTCAGATGTTTGTGATATCCCGTCAATCAGTTAGTCACTGACATGCGCCTGTTAGCTATCTACTAGAAGCTAATAAACATCAAGGTGAGACACGGAATGATCAGGAGCTTTCTGAGTATTACTATAAATACAACGCTACATGACACTCAGTAACAAAAGGAGGAACAGTGGTTTCAGTACTTCCCTGTATTAGTCGCTGTTGCTAGAACATTTCTGGGTTTGCATAGGAATAGCTACTGTAGCTAAAGACAGTGTGTGTAGAAACACTAAAAACACATCCCAAAAAACTCCACCTCCACAAGTGTCACAAATCAGTGTCACAAAGGACAGAAAAAACTCTAGTGTTAGCTTCCTAGCATTATGGAGTGTTTGTGCAGCTGTCAGGTGAGATAACATTAAGCCACAGTTCTGTGATTTTTAATTGTCTGTGGCGCTAAGAGAAAAGATACTTCACACAAAACTGCACACAACACCAAGTGGACAAGCGTTTAAATGTGGCCTCTTCTGTTCACAGCGCTGATGAAGGTCAAGGCTACGCCCAAAGCGAGAAACATAATATTTGACTGAACGAGTGTGGTGGTGCTGGGACATGACACTGACTGGTTCCAGTGCTCCTTGGAGACTCTGTAGAGCGTGGCAAAGACCAGAGGCAGGATGACTTGACAGTTCTCTTCTATCAGACTGAGGATGTATTCGTTGTTCCAGAAGTAAAGAGCCCGCTCCGCTACCTAAGGCACACACACACACACACACACACACACAAACACAAATATTTAATGAAGAACACACATCATTTAGCACCTGTCGTGTCTTCTGCGGCTGTGAGTGTTTAGTATGTGAATTTATGTGTCATTTCATTTCATTTTTGGAAAACAAATCTTAACGGTGTGAGGCAATGAGTGTAAATCAGCAACAGTTTAAAGCAGATGAAAACATGGAGCGGTGCTGACCTGGAAATGAGGGCTGGAGATACAGGCTGCGATCTCTTTGAAGAGCGGCTCCTGGACCCTGATGAACTGAGAGGGTTCAATCACGTCCAGGATCTCCTCGATCTCCCCCAGGAACATCACCTTAACAGACAAAGGATTTTTTTTTTTGCAGATCAGGATAAACCTTTAGGATTGTCCAAGTATTTCCTTGCCTCAGCTCCCTCACCTCTTTCTGCGTGCAGGTTTTTGGCCAGTACTTAAGCAGCCCTCTGATAATCTGCAGAAGAGAGAAAAAAAGAGAATAGGGAGTAAGAAGATGTGGCCATTAGTTCCGCAGGAAACTGGCTGTCATCCATTTGTACCATCTCCATTAACTGTGAGCTTCACTCTCAGGCCAGTGTATTAAGAGAAGTGCAGTTAACTTCCTACTGAGAACTGTTCGTATGCTACTGGTGTGGTACCGATACAGTCCTTGTACTGTTAAAAGCCCATTCAAATTATTCATGCACAGCGAAGCAACCAGTACAAATACAAAGGGACCTGGACACATGCATTCAGACAGACTGATGGGTTCCCCTTGTACCGTGTGTTGCCTGGTCTGACATTACGATGTACAAACCAAATGGCTATTAATGGTGATACTATTTTTAAAAATAACAACAACAACAGTAATTGTTAGTTCAGTGAATTGTTGGGACTATTATTTATAGCTAAACACACAGCGAAAAAATAACTCAATAACTCAATAAGAATGCACCAAGACCCATAATAATATTAGTATCAGGCCTGATACTTGTGTCTTGTGCCGATCAATGGACCGATCGGCCAGTGTTGTGTGTTTTCTCAATTCATTTTGGCGTCTCAATGCCCTCGTGTGTGTGAAGTTTATTTAAATAGGTCAACAATGGCAGCAGTTTGGAGGATAATCTTTACAGGTGAAGCTTGAAACACATGCAACGATGCTGAACAGGCTCAAATGAACTCATGGATCAATCAACCTGATTAGTGGATCACATTTGGTACACTTACATATTCAGTGACTGTCGCATCTTTCTCCATGAACTGCACCACACAGTAGGCCAGCTGTAAGCACAGAGCACAGGAGGTTAGTACACACACACACACACACACACACGCACACACACACACACCCTGGAGCTGTCAGGGAGACAGAGGGATCTCTCAGCAGTTATCCCTGAGGATTAAAGACTGCTTTAGATTGGACAGACAGGTTTTCCAAGGGGAGCCAGTATAGTGCAAGTGCATGTGTGTGAGAGTGTGTGTGTGTGTATACGTGTAAATTTCTACATTAGCTCTTGTGTGATTTGAATTCCTAACCAATTCTTCTTTGAATGTTTGAAGGGTTTTTATATATTTGCGCCCTCAAGTGGTCTAAGAGCGCATGTGTGTGTGTCTGTGTGTCTGTGTGTGTGTTTGTTTTGGGGTTGCCCCCTTCAACCATGAACCTGTTGTCGTGGCAAAAATGAACCGTGGTGGCAGTGTGTATGTGTGTCTGTTTACTCGGAATAAGTGATGTCACACACACACACACACACACACACACACACACACACACACACACAGTGCCCTCGGGGTAAAGTGAGATAAAGTTTGGAACTCTCCTGGAGTTGCCTCTGTCTCTTCTCTACTTGACCTGTCACTCACATAATTACAGTACATTTCCAGTCTGTCAGTTAAAGATTCTTTTTTTAAATATGTTGAACACGAACCTACTAAATTGAATGACATGAATGTGGATTAGTTTGTGGTACATTCTCTTGGTTTATTTTGCTGGTATTTCTTCGTTGGTCTCACTCTTAACTCTCTCCGTTGTCTCATCATAAATTGTTATAATTCCTATCACTACACTGTGACCACGTGGATACAAATCAGGGGGCTGGAGGGCTAAAAGAAGTTGCTGCTGAGAACAGGGATGTTGAACATGACTAAAAAAAGAAAACAGGAAAAAGATGAGGATTAAAATAAAGGTGCTGAGCAGTCATACTATTTCTGGCCTTAGTGAGGTATTAAAGAAACAGCTCAGGGCAAATACGCTGTCTTTTTTTAGGCTTAAACCTGTAAGTCAATGTCACCTGCATGTTAATTTGGTGAATTGTTATGCGTATATTATTTACATTGTTATTTATCATCAGGCCATGGCAAACTGAAATTTTGAATTCTCAGTAGATGATAATCTGTAAATGTTTTAACACCGAGCAGCAGAATCTGCTAATAGAGCATTATCTGAAATGTTTAAATAATGAATAGGGAAAAACAAAAGTCTCTGTGTGGCTGTTTCAGTCAAATTATTTTGGTCCACGGTACACAGACAGATCAGAACCTCATTAAAACGGAACACAGAAAGTATTAGTCAGAATTTTACTCTGCTTTCTTTAAAAACACAAAGATATCAAAAACAACAAGACAACATGTGTTTGTTTCTGTCCTTAATACAAAAAACAAATGGGCTTAATTTTTACCTTACATTTCGCTCACCTTATGTAGATGATGTGTAATTTGCTGTTGTAACATTAGCTGATCTTAATTTTAGATTAAAGAGGCAGAGGCAGCACCAGGCACAGCATCTGTATCTGCTGTGAAGGTGAGACTGTGATATTAAGGCACTGAAATGGGTCACTGTGTCCTACTGAGAGCAGCGCTGCTGTCCACCAGCAGTGTCCTCCTGACCCTGTCAAAGTGGGCATCTGTGTGTGTGTGTGTGTGTTCAAGTATGTGTGTGAACCACAGGGAGACAAGACAGGGAGGAGAAATGTAGGGCACACTGATGCCCCTGAATACTAACACACACTGCCATCAGTGAACTTGACACACACACACACACACACAGAGTTCTGGATGTGAAGGTTGAAGGACCAACCTGCATAACTAAGCAAAGTACTATACAGATTAAATACCTCCTCCCATACTGAAACACCTTCCTTCTTTGCACAAACTCACAAAAAACAAACAAACAAAAAAACACATTATCCTATTGAAAGGTGTGTGAATCTTCCTATGCTTGGCTCAATTCTGCTTCCTAGTGGCAGGTGTGGCACACTGCAGAAACTTCTACTGCTTCATGTTCTTTTACACTTGACGTCAAAAGCGATAAGTACTGTCCAGATGGATAAAGATGAGTGATAACTCAGTGATAATGAGTTTATAAAGATGACAGCTGTGGAACTTTTTTTGTTAGTTAGATGTGCAGGGTGAGTCTCTGACCTGTGCGTGGAAAATGGAGAGAGACTTTGCTGTGTGCAGCGGGATGAGGACTCGAACCAGGAACTGCTTGTGTTCCGCCTTCAGGGGCAGAGCAAATCCATTGATGATGCTGGAGAAGGAAAAATATATAACAAACAAGACAAAAATACAAATGTGAAAAAAAAATTCAGGAACACAACAAAAACTCATTCTCCTCAAAAATAACTAACTAGATTTAAACATACAGGAAGTACAACTAAAAATCCTGACACATGACACTGAGTATATATAATTAAATTAAATGAAAATAAAGTCTCCATTTTTTTCCCAAACCCATATATATCAGTATAATGGATTTAAATTTGACCAGAGACATGATGTTGGTTTTGACAGCTGTATTTAACTTCAAAGTACTACATAATACTGAGAGTTGTATTTGATTTCATAGTAGTATTAAAATAAAGGAGTGACTGGACAAACGTGTGATCCACTCCACTGGTCACTACTGTACAGACAGGTCATTCAGCTGCCTACAGATGTAAGTCATGGCCAAGTGAAGCCACACTCTCAGCTGTTTGTCTCTTTAATAGCAGCCTCTGTGCATCACTCACTGATACAAACACTATCTGCCTGCCTTTGTTTTCAAACTACTTCTTCATGGACTTAATAGAGAAATAAAAATCCGCAGTAATATCTCTCCCTGCTGTTTCTCTAATCTGTCTCTCCGCCTCCCTCTCACCTTTTTCTGAATACCACTGTCTTCTCTCTCTCACACACACACACACTCTCATCCTGTACCATGTATCCTCTCCCACCGATCTCATTCTCTCTGTGTGTGGGAGGAGCTATAAATACCTCTGTTACCACCAACATGAATACAAACCTCTCTCCCTCTGTCCTCTCTTCCTCCCCTTCTTCCTACGTATCCTCTCCATTCTGACTCACTGAATGGTCACTCTGTCACCCTCTCTCCATCTCCCCTCCTCCCGGTCCGTCTCATCCCTCCTTTCTCACCTTAAAATCACCTTTCTCTCATGGTCGCATGTGATTGTTTGGCAAAACTAAAACACCCTCATGCGACTACGAACGTCTGACCCTGGAAGACTAAAGAGTTTCAACAATGAATATCTTCAATTCTTTATCACTATGTAGGTGTTATTAGTACTACATCCTGGCAACAAACAGCCCAAAACAAACAACGTTGTTTACACCAGTGTTAGTTGGACTTAGTCTTTTGACTCAACTGTAACTTTAGTTTTGAATATGTCGTTCTCATAATACCATCTTACGATAAGTACATATGGAAATAGCCATGACAGCAATAGTAAGATGTTGACAAGCGAATGTGTCATTTTCACTTCATATCTTAAGCAGATTATTTCATTAACACATGGGTTTGTTTGGTAAATCTCAGGAGAATATGTCGGCAAATAACACAATAAATTTGTCGCGTTCTTTTCTCAAACGACGTTTCACACGGCGTTAAAAGTAAAATGGGTCCACATATCGGTACTGATGGACGTGTTTAGGTCACGCCTTTTCATACACTAACTAGATTATCCCCAGTCATCTGTTTATTTTAGTAATGGACCCCATGTTCACTATGGCTGGCTCTGATTGGCTCTATCCTCTTTTGTTCCATTCATCTACATGACATGACCGATCATCAACACATTTTTTCATCTTGTTTTTATGAATGCATCAAATAGTTTGTCATCGTCATAATCCAATTCAAATGTAATCTTCAATGAGTGTTGAAAAAAGGTGAATGACTCAGTATTTTTGGCTAAAGTCGATGAATATAAACCTGGTTCAAGCCAGTAGCAAATCTTTCTTTTTACATGCCGTGTGTGGTTTTGTGTGGACACAAACCTGCCGAGGATTTCCAGCAGCTCCGCGACTCCATTGAAGTGCTCAGTTTCGTAAATGAACCTGGAAATGCAGACAGAGAAATAAAACAAGCTTTACAACAAGAAAAAATATACATTTGGATTTTTTAATGGTTAATTTAGACCAAAAATTAAAGTTAAGATGTGAAATGTTGACAAACTCCTAATCTGAACATCTCAGCTGTGTGAAAATGGCATACAATGCCATTTTTAAATACATAATTATACAGTTTTGGCACACCTCTTTTCTTTTGTAAGTATTTTGAAATAAATATAAAATTAAAAATAAATATTAAAAATAAAAAATATAATAAATAAATATAAAATAAATATATAAAAATTAAAGCAGTTCTTCCAAAAATCTAACATTTTATCAGAGGTGTTCAGAATTATCAATGAACACGATAGTTTGTACGAACAGTTTTTTCTACACTAACCTTGAAAAAGGTTCACGTGAGTGAAAAATATATTTTCTATTCTTATTCATTACATGAAATGAATGGATATAATGTCATTACAGCAAATTTAAGTCCTGTAATTTAGGTCCTGTACACTAGGGGAAAAGATGGCAGCACGTACCTGAGGAAAATGTTGTTGATTTGTTTGCGGATGTAGGCTCTGAGACCCAGTAGTTTTCCATAGACACGGTGCAGGATGGTCTTTAAGTACTCCCGCTCCCTGGGGTCCTCGCTGTCAAACAGCTCCAGGAGCTGTACACACACACACACACACACACACACACACACACACACTTATTAGATAATTACAGACACTAATACAGCATGCATTCACTTGCAACTGCATTCATTCTCTGCCCTGATCACAACAGCAGACTCCAGCCTATTAATTATTCGACCTTAACACAGACATCCTCTTTTTCTGCTGCCTTAATTGTAAAAACATGTTGCGGTGGCACAGCTAACGTTAATCACGTTAACAGTTCTGTCTCCCAAAGATATAATTGTGCCTTTGGTGTGTGCTTATCAAAACCTAGTTATCAAACCACAGCCAGCATTTAAAATATGCTGTTGAAGATGTTTCTTGACAGAAAAAGAAAGAAGAAAAAAATCCAAAACCTGTAGGACAAACTTCTGGTCCACGTAACGTTTGGCCATAGAGGGCTGGAAGTCCGGACTCTCCAGGAAACGCAGGAAAAACTCATACACCAGCTGCCAAAGAGAAAAAACACAAAAGCATAGAGGAGCAAAATTAAGAAGCACATTTATAATAAGTACATTACCATGCCGGAGTAAACAGCTGTCCCTTTTAAATGCAATGCTAACAAATGGTTCAGAAATCTGCCCCGGCAACAATGTTAGCTACAATGCTAGCTACAGACAGCATGTTTAAAATAGACATTTCCACATTCTCTTTAAATAACATTTTTTTGAGACTTTGAGATGATCAAGGCCACACTGCACGATTCATCCCGGCTTCGCAAACCAGAAGATCTTAAAAGGTCACACTTTATACCAGCTGAGCAACAAAGGGATGAGCGTCAAGAATTTCATGCATATACTTTGACTCATCAGTCCCGGAAGGTACAGCAGTGACTGTATGCTACACTAAAATGTCACCTGCGAACCTTTAAAGGTTCTTCGGGAGTCCCTTGTGATTCAGACGAAGACAAGTAGCTGCGCACAGAATATAGCAGCGTGGTGCATTTGGTTAGACTTTAATGGATTAGAGGGCAGACCCTCTGATTCCCAACCACTGGGTTGAGGCACATTAGCGTGCTGCGAGATATCATTAGATATGAAGCAATAACCTTAGTGAATAACCTAGGTGTCAGCAGATCGCCATTCAAACTTGAAAAAGAGAGGGACTCACAGCTATTGTAGAAGATCTTTATGTGTGTCTCTTCAAGTATATCAGCATTGTGTTCAACTAAACAGGCACAGGTTTTACACTAAGACCTTTGAGACATTTTCATCTGCTGCTGCACTGTGGGAATCCTAATGTCAAGTTTGTGCCATGGCCCCTTAAAGGATTCGGCAGCACTGATGCAGACCACCTTTCTGGATAAGGTGTGTATTTCTCAGGACTGCATTTTGTCTCCCTTTAATAAACTCGGGGAATGTCTACCAATCCCAAACAGACCTTTGAAGAAAGAGGCCAAACACAACAGATTCCATCTCAGGTCCAACAACAACTGTCCATTTCTCTCATTTCAACTGCAGGTGGAGTGAGAGTAAAGTGTCATTATGTGATCAGATCCTCATTGAGAAGAATGAGTTTGTACATAACGTACCTGCAGATGAGGCCAGGAGGCTTCAAGTGTTGGTTCATCTTCCTCAGGGTCAAATTCCGGATTCTCACTGGGAGGCAGAGTCCGAAAGATGTTCACAGAGATCTGGGAATGGAAGGGAACACGACCATAATGTTCACTTTGAATAGTTTCACACTTAAACAAAAGCATGTGTGATGTCGGTGGCTCTTCGCTGTACTACTCATTCTTTGTAGATTTGATATCTGCATGGATTTCTAACAGCCTGATTAAGAAGGTCTTTTTGTTACTGTAGTGACACGACAACTTTATGGCTACACCCTGCAGCAATTCACGAAGAAACAGGTCAGTACAGTAAAACATACTGCAATACCACCACCAAGATACCAGGACTTTACTAGAACTGTATTATGTAATACCTGAATGACTAGAGGAGTACACCATTTGGACTTTGTAATGTTTAACAAATCACTTTGTCTCCCCAAGGAAATAAAAATAACTTAGGCTTTCATACAATACCAGTAGGTTTAGGAGACAAACTTTGGATAAATATTTTTGCTCTGTACAAAGAACTTTGAAAATATTCAAAAGCATGAGGTATTCCAAATGAGTCTAACGCTGCTTTTATTTCATCTGTATGCCGTCTTCGCCTTGTTTATCTTGGACCGAGTCGTAAAAGTTTCCTATGGAGACAGTAAAGGTAATCGTAATCGTGTCTGTCACCTTCATCCTCCACTGCTCTTTCTTTCCTGTTGTTGTCTGCCCTCTTGAGAATCTCCGGAGCTCCCCAGAGGGATACCCTCATGCCAACCTGTCTTCTTTCCCTTTTCCGTCCCTGCTTCCTCCTCTTCCTCAACTCATCTCTCCCTGTACCATGTGTACACCCTCTGGGTGTTGCACTGGATGAGGATTGATTCATCTGAAGAAATATATTTCTGGCTCCCTGTATTTCTCTTGGCTTGGCTATCGATCTATTTGCTCGTCCACCACAACCACTCTTTGTCACTGTCTTTGCCTGGATGATGGCGATTGTTTGATTGTGTTTGCTTTGGAGAAAAAAAAAACACCTCAGCATTTACTCTTGTTTTTCTTTCCCCCTCCTTCCCTCCTACCATCTTTATAGCCTCTGGGTACAGAGGCTCTATGAGGACTCCTCTGCTGGTGGCCACACTCTCGACCAGCTCGTTCAGCGCCGCACGTTTGATCTCCTTTCCCTTCAGGTCTGCAACGCAGTCCAGGAAATCAAACAGCACGCAGCACTGCTGCAGCTTCTTGCAGAAAAGGTCGTGTAACTCCGCCACCGGGGCATCTACGGAAGAACAAAAATATGCAAATGAGAAGGTGAGAGAGGAGAATCAGCCGAATCTGAAGGTGCTGAAAGATTTTAGAGGAAGATGAAGTACACCGAGATGTGTGTGTGTGTGTGTGTGTGTGTGACCATATTTCTCTGGAGAACACACTGGTTCACACCTCCACATGTAATGTACTGGTCAGCAGTTACACACCACCGTCCTCCAGAGGCTTGTGTTGTATCTCTGTCCCATTACCTGTCAGATCCACTCTACAGACCCGTTCATCTCCATGAAGACAGAAAACCTGCTGCCGGCCGTCAGATTAAAACCCAGCACCTCTGAAAATTCCACTTTTTTGCGGATGTGGAAAAAGTGGTCGATGCCTCGTGGAGCACTGAACTGAGGCACAATAGATTTCAATTTGAACCTGAGGGATGCTGGAGGGTGAACCCCAGCAGCTCTGCCTGTACGCTGCAGGAAAGCAGTTTAGAAGTGAAGAGAGTAAACACCATAATAGACATGTATAGGTCGAGGCAGCAGCCAGATGGGAATGCCGTGGTCTTTGTCGACACAGATGATTAACGACTCAATGAGGCGGTAAATAATATCCAGATTTGAGCTCTTCGTACAGTGTGCATGGGGCTGGTGACAAACATATTAATTGAGATAAATGATAAAGAGTGATCAGCGCCAGTGGTCATCGAGTTAGTGCCCCCTGCAGAGAAGGTGCACCACACACTGTGTGTGTTTTACATTTAAAGAGGTTCATTTCTATTAATTAACTTGCATTCATTGCAGAGAAGAAAAAACAAGCAATTAGTGTCTTAAAATCTGTCCATTGCAATGCGTTTTAGAAAACTATAAAGGTATCCTTTAATCTGTCCTTAGATCCTGTAGCACAGGAGTGTCAAACTCATTTTCACCGGGGGCCACATCATCAATTCAGTTGCCCTTGAAGGGCCAGTTGTAAATGGAAGACTGTATAGATCAGGGGTCTCCAACCCTCGGTCCACGGACCAGTATCGATCCATAGATCATTTGGTACCGGGCCACAGTGAAAAAATGTACTTAATTTTTACTAATTAAAGTAAAAATTAGGTTAAGAAACTCTACTGCATGAAGGTTTTTAAGCTCCCATGGGCCACACAAAACGGCTTGGTGGGCCGCATTTGGCCCCCGGCCCTTGAGTTTGACACGTATGCTTTAGCAGTAGAAGGACGTTGGTGGACTGTCCAGGAAACTGAGCTTTGCTCCCTGTGATTTGTGGCGTTACTGGCGTCAAGTGCATCACAGTTAGAATTCAATTAATTAAACAAAGCTTTTATTCAGGGAAATCCGTGTGGATTAGTAAATAAATACTAAACTCCTTCTCCAGTTTGTTTAGTCATAAAATAAGCTGGCTGTTGGTTTTAAATCCGGGACAACAAGTGATCCAAAGAATAAGCACATTTTTGAAAAATATACATGGTATATACATTCTACTTCGAAGGTGAAAAAGAATTGCTATAGTGGACACAAGATAGGAAGAAGGTGAGAACACTAGATACACACTAAAAACACACAAAGAACCATGAAGAAAAACTGTCCAATGATGGACGTCACATGGTTTTCTTTTACACTCGTTTCCTCATATAGTGCTGAATCACAACAGGCTGTATGCTGCCGCTCAATGCACATGCCACTTTGAACACACAGTCTGTCCCTGTCAGTGCGAAACAATACGCCTCCTCCAGGAGCACACGGTGACTGGGCAGCCGTCTAGACTAACTGGGAAGGATCATCCAGACATACACTTCCCAGGATAGGGATTAGATGTGAGGTGGGAGACACTGCAGGGGGCAGAGGTCCTGACTGGAGCTCATTCAGCCCCAAACCTTTTCACCTTTTGTGGACACACTCAGTACCATCTGCTCCATTTGCCACAGAATTGCAAAAACTATAAGTCTGTTTCCAGCTTGACGTGACAGACACTCTTTACCTCTACTTGTACCAGACATCACCGCCAACTTTATCAGTCTTTGCTCTGATTTTATTCCTGAAAGGCATTTATTCCTTGACAGTGACTCGACAGTTGTGAGATGAAGACATTTTCTTTTTTTTATAGTTCTTGTCATAAAAAGCAGGTTTTGAAAGACATAAAAATCAAAAATAAGTCTAAACCCGTTGATGTCACTCCACTACCATGTTGTACCACGCTGAATCTTTTCTTCACTCCTCTGTTTCCTGCTTTACTTTTCACTAATCTACTATTCAAATCCTTCCCTGAGT